ACTAACCCCGCTCATTACTGCTGTTTTGCTGGAAAAATGGATGATTGTAGTGGTGGGGGCCGCAAAGGGCGCATCCATGTTTAATTACTCCTTAGACGAAAATATTGATATGTCGCATATTTATACACTGTATCCAATTTAAACGTGCTATCTTTTTTATGTAGAATTGCTTCACTACGATCCCCACAAACGTTGTTGGTTGTAAGGGTTTCCCATAGCAGCTCGTTGGGCTTTTGTCAGGTATGCACAGCATTATACAGTAAACTCGGCAACGAAAATAGAATAATGTTTCGCCAAGCTAAAATAAAAATAAATAGCCAAAAAAAAATCGTGAAGTGTTTTGCTCCCTTCCAATCGGCAAGTAAAAATAATGCGGCTTTTTCGGGCAATGTCAGCTCCAGCAAAATTAAACATGACAACGATCAAACAAAAATAGCATTTTAATATAACGTCTCCAGCTCGACGCTCGCCCTCCCACGGTGGAAACGGGAAGCTGTCCTAGTGAGGGTCCCCCGATTCTCCCACTCAGCGGGCACGGCGGAACTGGTTGCGATCGTGGCTCGCGAAATATCATTTCCGAATGCAAACAACACTCTTCACTGTCCCAACGTAGTGCTGCTGACAGTGTGGGATTGTACCTTACTGGAAAGTTTTAGTATTGCGCATAAAATGCGCATAGAAGCCAACGCAAGTGGTTTGCGTTTACGTTAGAGTTGCGTACCCCACGTTGTGCGTGCGCCTCATCGCCATGCGCCATCCAAGACCGAAATTTTGGGCTCCGCACACGCGCAGTGTGGAACATGCCAAGCTGACGCGAACACGTATATATATATATATACCGCTTGCGTTCGCTCGTATACGCAATACTAAAACTCACTACTGCATCACCAGCTTCCACCGCCAACGAAACGTGCTGCAGTGAGCAGACGTGCAAGCAGGTCGGCGTTCCTTCGAACTGGAAAGGCTGCGATTGGCAAAACGGCGGCGCGTAAAAATGAAAGTAACTAAATGTTCTAAAAAAATTAAAAATATAAAAAAAAGCTTTTTTTTTTTTTTTTTCTTTTTTTTTTACTTTTGGGTTTATAGTCGAAACTATTGGCGGCGACTTTGGAGGTTCTGCCGATTGTCGAAAGTCGCGACTTTGATAGCAAAATGTACTTTATTCACAATTATAGAATTTTACGTGGATTTCTCACATTAGCTAGAATGTTTTCATTGATTTTATACTATTTTTATTTTATTAATTGGTAAGCGAAAATGCTGCAATTGGCAGCTGTGATGAGAATTAGTACACTTTTGATTGTCATATTTGTTCGCGCGTTTCAAATTAGATCATAAGCAACAAAATATATTAAAGCTTAAAAATTACGCAATAAAATATACGAATTTTAATATTATTATTATTAATACAAATCGCGGCAATGTATGCCCCCAATCAACGCCAAGATTACGAAAATACGCCATTTAACCAAAATAGTCTTTCCAGAAAGGTATAATTTTTTTTTTGTGTTTTTAGCATATGAAAATTTCTTGACGTCGTTATCAAGGTAGATAAACAGTCAAACACTGGATGTAATATAAAGTCCTATGCGTCACGCGATGCAAAAAAAAAAAAAAAAAAAAAAAAAAAACACACACTCACTTCAACTGTCTGACTCGGATTCCGACTTTGGGTTGTTGCAGTGAGAACAGCGTTTATTAATTTATACGTTTTGTGGACATAGCGTAAAAATTGGATTTATTCTCTTATCCTTGTGGTGGGAATAATGTTAAACCAATTAATAATCTAAATACCCATTAAAAGGCCCGCAGTTCATTATTTTTCATGATAATTATGTGAGCGAGAAAAGGCAGCGAGATCGCACAAATGTCAGCACTGATTTTTTCAATAACTACAACTATCAGCCTGGATTGAAACATGTATGTCACAAAATAAAGTTTCCTCGAACAACTGCTCCAACTAAATAATTACGATGTGAGACACATCTTGAGTTATGAAAGAATCCGAAATTAAGACCTCTACCGAGAAATTAAATCCAAAATAGAAGTTGGTTTCGGTTTCGCTCCAAAATTAAAACGCGCATCCTTGCGTAAATATTACGCTAAACACCGTTCTTGTTTTCGGGGTAAAGATGTAACTTGCACTTATAACACCCTAGCTTTCTCGTATTACCAGAAATAATTTGTGTCGCTCAGTAAGCCAGCACACTAGACAGGCTCAACTGCGGCACGCATCTCTGACCCTCACTATAACCGCCATTTTGGAAAATGAGTGGCGCCACCTATAGTTAGTTAAAGTCGAGATGCTTATAAACAAAAACAAAACAAAAAAACAAAAAAAAAACCGTAGCTATTAGGTAGGGCTGGACACTTGATCGATGCGCCTACGAATATTCGATTAATGCTACAATTGCGATTAACTTTTCTAACCGGTTAATCAGTTAAATTTGGACAAACAAATAAATTATTGGCTGCAAAAACCACTATTGTTTATTGTTTATGAATTGCAACGGCATTCGTCATGAGACTCACGACGCGGCTCACTGCGAATACGACGACTCAAAATTTTGAGCAAACGCTTTATTTAATTAATGGTCGCAATCATTGACGTCACCGCGACTGCAGCGCGCCACTTCGAAATTGAGTGATTGCTTCGTCTTTGTGCAATCGGTTAATCTCCTGTCTCTGTGTAATCTTTTAATTTTCAGGCTGTTTCCCCACCATCATTGCAGCTTTCTGTGTGTCTTGTCCGGTCTCTGTGTAATCGTTTAACGTTCAAACTGTTTCACCACCATCATATTGACCATGTACCAACTAGCTCAAATGTGAATGTGTGCGTAATTCAATAGCAGTGGAGTCAGCCGGCGCCTCAACCGCTTGCGCCAGGAGAGCACGTTTTTATTTATTATGGGCGAAGTTCCTTAGGGGCTAGCCATGTCCATATGTCCGTATGTCCGTCCGCCGTCGGGTGCACGTGCTCCTGCTCGTGTAGAAAAAAAAACAATAACCGCATCTCCACGTGGTGAATGATGTTGATTGTGGCGAAGCTCTGGGGGTGCTTGTCTGCGTAGACGGTGAGCCGCAGCATGCCGAGCCTTTGGTTCGCTTTCATCCATGTCAGAAAGAGAACGCGTGGTATGGAACGAGGTTATATACGCATTTGAGCATTTGACCGCAGGGTGACATGGATGAAAACGAACGAAAGCGGAACCGCGGAACAAACGCACCGACAGCAGTCAACTTTTTGTTTTTATTTTGATGCTTATGTTCGCTTTCTCTTTTCTTGAGGAATATCCCTAGCAACGAGAAAAGAAAATACACACACAGACACAGAAAGGGTAACTCTTTAGCCTCGGCATAGTCAGATATTCTCCGTTCCACCTTACGGTGTACCTCGATGGACGCTACAAGTTACACGAGCCATTCCATAGATCGTAGCAATTGTGTCGAGACTTCGCGCTCCCCGCGTCGCTCCGCCCAACCAGGAGGGCACGTGACATCCTCCGGTGGCATGTATCGTCTTTTGCAGTTCATCGGAACATGAAACAAATTCTTAAGGCGAAAGCCTCATATGTCTCATCCGTCTCATCGTTCAGTCGACCTTCAAAGTCCTTGAGCGAAAACATGTCGACGATACGAAAACGACGCAAATACGCCAAAAGTGCGTCAAAAGTTCTTCGTCAGAGAGCACGCTGTCTTCGGAAGTTCGCTCTTACCGGGATCACAGTCAACGCCACGATCCGTGTGAGCCAATGAAACGGCGCCAAAAGTGCGTTGTCAGAGAGCGCGCTGTCTTCGGAGGTTCGCTATCAGGCTTATGTCACCACTGAGGCGAATTAGAGGCAATGAAATTAAGAAGGATGACAAAGCGAATTAAGAGGAATCGAAGTGAATTAAGTAAATCATGGGTGTTTGTCTTTAATGCATCGGCGCTTGGGGCTTTCGCCTTCAAGTCGTCTTAGGGATATGAGTCCCTGTGACTTTTGAAGTGTTCGCCTCTACACCGACTCGCCGGCGCCAATTAATGCTGCACATAGACGTGAAATACACCTACTAAGTTTCATTATTATTGAGCTGTCTCCATGTCGTTGCTGCCGTTTGTTTAGTCAACACTGAGCCACTAACGCCACCGTCGCGCATATTTATTTACTTCGCGCCCCCACCCGCAAGAAGGCGCTTCTCACATTTTATCACGCCGAACCGTTTCCCATAACCGGTAATCGCCAGATGAGATTACGGTTTCGTCCAGGTTCATGTTCAAAATCAAATGTGTGGTTTGGATTACAGTTCTGTTCCAGTTCAGTTTAAAATAACAATATTGCTCGTTTTTCGGTTTGGGCTGGGTTCGGCATTATGCTTAATATCTACCTGCTAATCGCGTATGATTATAACAGTCGTTTTGCTGCGTCTCGCGGAGCCCGGAACACCACCTCGTCTATCAACAACTCTTCAGTTTTGGTTGCTTCACGAGCCAGTGAGACAATCCAGCCGTCAGTCCCCTGCAGTGAAATGATGCTGTTTCAATAGCCAGTTTTTATGCGCTAGCGAATTGCGCCATCAGCTTGTAGGCCCTAGATTAAAATCGGCGCAGCTCGCATGAGAACCTGACCCCCCATTCCATTTCCACTCCATTCCGGGCAAAAGGCGTCTATATTTGCATTCCCATTCCATTCCCCTTAGCGCTATACTCCTCCACAACTGTTCTTGGCAGTGTAGCGTGAGGTACAGGTACCCGTTTCCTCCGCCATTTTGAGTGCTGAATAAAGCTGTGCGCGGGCACTCCTCCTCTCCACTGCATTGCCAAAAAAAAAGTTGTCGTCGAGTATAGTTGTAGCTATTCCATTCCCATTCCATTCTGGGGTCGCGTAAGTGCGGAGTGATTCTGGAATCATTCCAACTCCCGGAGTGGTGACTCCGAAACACTGATTTCTGGATATACTTGCAGAGAGCGTAACTTGCAAAGGGTCAGCGCTGACGGCATGCATGTTTTTGGCCCTAAGGTGGACGACCGCGAGTGGCACAAGGTGGACCTGAGCGTGTTCCGTGACCACGTGGTGCTGTACCTGGACTGCGAGAAGCACTCCAGCCTCGAGCTCACCACGCCTCGGGCTCCGATCGACGTGAATGGCGATGTCAACCTGGCCAAGTTCGAAGCAGACCTCAGCACCGTGCCGGTGAGACACGGTCCAACCTAAAGGCTTGTGCGATTTACATTGAGTGTCTTTTCGACCTTTCATGATTCATCCCGTGCTCGCCGTCCGTTATCAAAACAATATATTTTAACCAATACTCACATATACTGTCTGCCCGAAAGAGCGTTTGATGACGTTGCAATCATGATCAGCCTACCTGCAAAAACAGGTATGCTCATTTGCTAATGACACAGCAAAGCGATTAAATATTCTTAGAGCCGGTCGTTTGAAAATAATATGCAAATTGCATGCATGAGGCTATTTATTTTTATTTTGCGGTGAGAGTTTGATTGCTTTGGAGTGCGGATGAAAGGACAAAATGGGGAAGATTTTATTGCTACCTTGCATGCCTATCCAGATCAGAGATGGCAAAATTACTTTCAAAAAGTAATTCAATTACATTACTAATTACTTTCTGAAAACAGCAAAAATGTAATTAAATTACATTACACAATACTGCAGACTAAAGGTTGCATTACAATTATTTTTCAAAAGTAATAAAATTACTTTGAAATTACTTTGACATAACTTTTGATATCTCGAGGCAGTAATTCGTGCTCATTTTAGTTACCGTATACACCAACAGAGTGTTTACAAAACAAGCCCTCACTTGCCCCCACCGCTGCGCTGCGCATGAGCAGCGCCACCGCAGTGATGTCACGTCAAAGAGCTGAGTTGGTCTATATGTACCAAAACTCGGATCTTCCTGTTTGCACCGCAACAACCTTATGTGCCTCAAAGGGAACCATACTGAACAGTGGTTTTGCTGGCGCACACGGCATTAGTGTTAGACATGATGAATAGCTTATTTAGGTGTGACTCAGAAAGACAGTCGACTCACCGGTTTCGCGCTTCATTCAACGGTGAAGGTTCTTACTAAAAGGGGGATATGTTTCCGTCTTCCTGATTTAGAAGTTGCACTTCGTGTCAGTTTGTTCAGTCAGGCAATGGCAGCTCGTTCTTACAAGGAGTCGTCACGTGAAACGTTTCCCTTCCACCTGGGACGCAATCTAATTCTATTCTCCCGAGAGCACTATACTCGGCGATAGCGTCTCTTGGCAATGCAGTGGAGAGGAGGAGGGCCCGCGTACAGCTTTGCTCGGCGCTTAAAATGGGAGATGGAACGCGTGCCTGTACCTTCCATTGCATTGCCAAGAAAAGTTGTCGCCGAGTATATTTGACCTATTCTCGGTCATTCCTTTCAAGGAGCATTTTTCCGAAACACCCGAAGAGTCCAAGCTTTTGCGCATTGTCACACAAAGGGCCCGGATAATTGCTAAGTAGAAGCGTCGCCAGTTGGGGAATGGCGCGAGCTTCCTAAATTCTGTACTTTCCCAACAAACGGAGGGCGATATCTGCTTGTAGGCTTATTCCCGAATAAATTTCCCAAGGCGGAAGGAAGCGAGGCATACCGCGAGCGGCAGCTGCTTCGCTCGAGGACGCACGAAACGCTCTAGGGCTTTGACAAGGCATTTGGAATTAACTATTTATTCCGGACGTTTGTTGTTCACAATGGTCGAAGCTTACGGTTTGACCTTGCTTGACGAAAGTACAAGGCTGGGGTTCTGTTTGTCTTGTCCTCTCAGGTTTTAAATTATGTTTAACTCACCGGTGATGTGCCCGTCACCTTGTAGCCTAGGAGCCGTTCATACCTAAGCTGACGCACCCCCAGCTTAGGGATGAACGGTGAAAGACCTGTTTGTTGGAGCAGTCACACGTCTATCGTTCGCTAACGTAACCACGCTCTCGTTCATACCCACGCGCAGAGAAAGATACGGGGCACGTGATTAAACGAAGGTGTTCGATTGGTTCTGGTTAGCTTGCAGCTCCCACAGCACTGTCAGCTTAGGGATGAACGAAGTATAGTATCGTCGTGATGACGCGACGCCGTGAATCTGTCGTGTCTGGAGTTCGTAAGCCGTTGCCTTCTAGCGATGTCTAACCCAGTGACTCTATTCTACACGCATACACGTAAACTTTTCTCCTTCGCCTTTCCAGCCCTCCTTTGTGCGTCTGTCCAGCTCTTCGTACAAGGCTTTGCGCTCAGGTGGCCGTCGATTATTTCCTCTGATGCTCTTTCACAACATTTCACCATGCAAAATAATTTTTCTCTTCTTTCTTAGCTTGCCAACGAATTTTCTAATTTAGGACAAAAGTAATTAATAATTTTCTCGAAATTACTGCCTAAAATTAATTATTACATTACAAAATTACTAGCCTAGAGAAGTAATTAATTACATTACTAATTACTCGAAAAAGTAATTTAATTACTGTAATTCCATTACAGTAATGTCATTACTGCCATCTCTGATCAAGATCCCCCAATACACGCAGCTCGTACAATGGCTCTTCGCCCTAAATCTGGAAAACGCTGGATATCGTGCAGGGCTGTTGCTGAGTTCATAACCATGAGGTTTCTTTTATAGTTGGATCTCCAGTGGATGGTGATGAGCTGCAATCCATCCAGACCGGAAAGGGAATCGTGCATCGAGCTTCCGGTAAGTGAACTAACCTGAAGCTTCCAACCTTTTGTAGAAAAATGGTTGCACTGGGACGAACAGCTCGATGTTCAAAGCTTGTATTTAGTGTGTCAGAGCATCAAACTACCAAAAGTGTCCAACAGACGACTCGATATATCTGAGCCAGAACACCGGAAACAACAGGTGCCATAATATTCGAGTCACGACATCTTGTCGAATATTCAAGTAGGTCGAAACATTCATCGAATCAATGGATCCAGCCGAGTCCGACCATTCAATCTAACGTGTCGAAACACGCGGTGAGTCAAAATATCCAATGTGTCGCATGGCGATTCAGTCAGAACATTCATTGTATCAGAACATTCAAAAAGGTTAAGACGTTCATCGAGCCAGGACATGACTGCATCAATCGAGATAATCATCCACCCTTGTCGAGCCATCAACGTACCCGAGAGCGTTCAGACTTCGTCGTTGACACATTATTCTGCACGACTGGAGGCCAAGGCTATATTCAACCACCCAGTGCCTCCAACGCGTCGCTACTACCCAGGCTTAGATGCGTCTTCAACCGAACCCAAATCATGTGACCCACGAGAGTTATGCAAACGACCCGGCTGGCTTCTGACATCAGCTAGGCGGTGGTACTGACGGTGGAATATAGCATGCGACGCTTGTTAATTCGGAGAGCAGGTCGTCTGCTTTTGCGCAGGAGGTCGGTGACGTCATAATGACGCCGAGCTCTGATTGGCTTTGATTGAAAGGATAGTGGGTAGACCTCAATGCCAGATGCTTTCAGGTTTAGCCCCTATTTATTTTTTCAATCAGCCGATAAGAGCTCGGTGTTCCGACATCATCGCCACCCCTGCGCAAAAAGCAGACGAGTTTGCGCTCCGTATAGACTGAGTTGGCAAAATTAGTACACTAATTTGACATATTATAACGCAACATTGCGTAAAGTGCTGTAAAACCTTCTCAACTTTATGAACTTCATGACGTAAACTCAAGGCGTTAAAGCAAGATGCAGGCATACTTCGGAGTCATTAGAAAGACACAGCGACCTGAAATTCGAAAAACAAATCTTAAAAATTTAACGTATCGGAGTTTTGCAACTAATAGCGCACACTCTCATCAAGTTTTATTGCAATGTCTGATATATTTACAGAAAAATAAAACATTATCGGTGATCCGACGATGCCAAATCACGTTATCCTCTAATTGCTGTGCTCCGCGTCGGTTAGGCTTAGAATGATTATAGTCGCGTTAGAAAGAGCCTTCGTCGCCTCACAATTTCGACACATTAACCAAGTTCGGTCGAGAGTAAACACTACATGAGGATAAGAACACCATATAAATCTCACTTTTAAGAGGCTGTGCGCACGAACAAGACTCGGAAGGCCCGTCCTGATTGAATAGAAACCTGAAACTATAGAACCGACATCCGTTTATAGGGAGTCATGTGGGTTCGTCTGCTTTGTTTCGCGACGACGCTCGCCCCGCCTACAAGCGCTGAAGCTGGTTTGTGTATCGGAAGCATATCAAATTTTTAACTCGTTTCACAATCAATGTCCATACGACGACAACCAAACACACTCGAAGAAAGCGTTTGAAGCTCCGATTCGCTCAGCAAAACCACACAGCAGATCAGATGCATGGAAGCGGAAGGCACTGCCTATGTGCCCCTGGTGCCTTTTAGTCGCCACGCGGAAGGGTTTTTACCTTTCTGCTTTGCCTGGGAGGCCGCCGTGTACGCACCGTTCCTGCGCAAATAAAGCACTTATCACTTGCCACCATCACAAAAATAAAATGTAGAAGCTTGAAACAGTTTTTTTTTTCTTTCTCATTTTCACTTTTTTCACTGCAACTTTTATTTGAGGAGATCTATCGTTTCGACGCATTATCAAATTTATTCTTCGTTGTCGACGTTTCTGCACTGAAATCTATTAAGGGATGTGGCTAGATATCTATTTCTTTATTTAAATGAAACTTTAATTGCCAGAAAGGACGTTTCTGATGGGCAGAAAATGCCCAATAATGGGGAACATTTTCAAGTTGATATATTGCATGGACAAAGCTCAAATTTTAGCGTAGTAAATATATAGCCTTTCTTCCCATATATTTTAATTGAGGCTGAAGCTCAGAAATACCCAATGTTTTGCAGAAATAGTTTTTACTATAGATTTTCTTGCTAAGTTAAGCGACTTTTAATTAGTGCCGTAGCTGTATACCTCATTCTGTAGCTTGTCGGAAAGTTCTCTCAAAGATTAAACTTTGTACAGTGCACTTAAACAGAAAGGTGCATAGACTCTTCATATTTTAACTATCAATAATGAATGACTGATTTAAAAGTTGGCACTTCAAGGTGGAGTCTCCTTGACGAAAGTGAGGGAAAATCAGCCGATCACCCAGCTGAAACTCCAGGTTCAACTGAGCAAACCAAGCCATCATCCGCGCTCCAGCCAAATTGAGTAGTCCGAGCCAAACTAAGACTTCCAGCAGATCTGAAAATTAAGCTGTATCAAAACGTCTAGCTGAACAAAAGAAATAGCCGCTTTGACACTTGCACCTACAAGGTCGATTACACGTGGTGCGCTACCGCTAAAAAGAGTAAAAAAGCTTAATGTAAAAAAATAAAATTGCGCTCCCGTTAAAGCATGGTGTCGTGTTTGTACGTCGTGCTGCAAGTTTGTGCTCTCGCAACGGAACATCATTCTCAGCCCAAAAAGGTGCCCACGGTGCCGCCTACGTTGCCTGTCCCTTCCCCTCCGCCAGTGCCGATAGAGTCGGTGTGCGTGGACTGCCCTCCCGGACCTCCTGGACTAAACGGAACAGAGGTGGGCAGCGCTTCCCTACTCGCGACTTTCTAATCGTGCACTGTCGCACGGATATGTGCTTGTATCTGAATAAAGCTTTTACTTGCAAAAAGGCGAGCGAGGAAACCTAGATTAATGCTAGCCAGCGCCGAGATACTGCAAAGAGGTGTGCGTTTTGTATTTAATCTTGTAACCACTTTATTGCTCGTAGCTCTGTTGGAGGTATGAATCATATTCTTTTTTTTTTTGTGTGTGTATGTTTGTTCCTCCCTGCAACGGCCCCACGGGCCAGCAGTATGTACAAATAAATAAATAAATAAATAAATAAATAAGGCGCCGCAGCAGTGATACTGCCGGCGTTAATACAGCGCTACGTTAGCGCTGCACTGCGGGTGTATACGGCCTGCAAGTTAGTCTGTTCTTTGCGCACCTCGAGCGCTTGTTTCCCTCCGATTTTAAGCAATGAAGGATTCACAATCAACGGAGTGTTGATACAGTGCTGTGTCTCGGCGTTGAGTTACCTCTGTGGTGTATACATATATGAACGGGCCTTTGCAGTGCCACAATGGGCGCGTTCAGTAGCGGCCCCGGAGTCAAGGAGTCACTGACTCCTTCCACTGGACGGCCAAAAGTCACTTCCGGTGCACGTAACTCCGGGGCTTCGGAGTCAAGCTCCGAAGTACCGAGTCCGGAGACGGTGCACGTAGAGTCAAAGGAGCTAAAATGACGTAATTTCTTGACTGGTGACGATTTCCGGCGCTAAAAGAGGAAAAAACAAACAATATGGCGGGATAAGCTGCATCGGTTCTGTCGCGGGTGCGCCGTTTGCTCGCTTTTGTTAATGAAAAGAGCTCAAGGTAAGACGAATAACGCGTTAGAATATCTTTTTCAGGTAAGGCTCTTTCGGAAAATGCATTGGACCGTATTTTGTTTGGTTTGAATATGCTAATAAACAACGTAAACGTTCATTTGACGCCGTGTCTTGATCGCCGTTGCACGGAAACTCGGTAATATTGACGATAGTCCTGTCCGCGCTCAACAGAGCAAAACAGGGTATGAACGCGACTTTGGAAGCCGGTTGGACACTCACGCAGAGCCAGAGCATGATACCGATTAATGTTTTGTTTGCGTAGCTAAATCGGGGTGCACGTTGGCTGAGGCTCGCTTCGGCCGACAAAACCTTGATCGCCAAGCGCGGCCGAACTTCCCGTGTGTATACGAATACATTTTATAGGAAGTTCGTTACGAAGGGAGAACAAACTTTTGGCCGTATAAAAGTATCGCAACCGACGGGGTAGATTCGCTGAGCTCTGTATTTTGTGTGTGCTGACGACGATTTTTGTCGGCTTTTATAACAGTAGCTGCCTTTGCACCGCCAAGCGAAGGGCTCGATCGCGTTGCATCGCTTCGAACAGCAGCGCTGCTGTTCGAAGCATCGCTTCGAACAGCAGCGCTGACGACCTTGTATAAAGACTTCTTCAAAACCGGAGTCAAATAAAAGCGATCGTGCTCGCCATCGTCTGCTTCCAGTTTATTCGGAGACCGTCTGGCACAGGGGAGGAAGCGGAAGTTGTGTAGAAGCAGGTTTGGAGCCGCGGGGTTTTTTGCCGTTCAGTAGGCGCTCCGATGACTCCGACTCGAGGCACTCCGTTCGGAGGCAAGGGAGGCGCTACTGAACGCACCCAATGCCTACAGGCTCCGGTCAGTCGCGACGCACGGGGGAGAGCGAATGGTACGCGTGTCTTCCGTGTGATGGGGCCAGCTAAGCGCTCAGCAATTCTGTCCTGCGGTGAAGTCCATAATCTACTCCACAGGGGACTCTCTGGTGTGGCTCCGACACCTCGGTAAAGATGCACCAAATAGCAGCACCTCAACTATAATATGTGCCACACCCGTTACAATGTTTGATAAGTCATTTATAGGGTTCTAGGGCCGTGTATAGTGACGTCACAAAGAAAGAACACAAAAAAGATGGAATTGAAGGCGGATTAAAATTCGAAGGCAACAAGATTAGGGGAAGGTCAGAAGAGATTACACCTACAGATGATATTCCTAAGTAATAAAGAAGAATAAAATAAGGGTTCAATCAAAATTGACAAAATAAGGGTTATTCCTTCGTGTTTCGCTGACATTTTATTCAGACATGTTTCGGTAGCAGTTCAGAAACCTTGACTGGCGTTAGAAATCTGCCGGTGCGAGCGCATACCTTGTCAGGGTTTCCACATTCTTGACCGATCGCCTCCGAATGGATTCGCATCGCAGACAAGCTCTCATGCCACTGTTTATTTGCTCACGTCATGATCCCGCGGGGGCTCGATCGAGTCGGCGTTAGTTCAGCGGTAGTTCAGCGGTCCATAGCGGTCAAGTGGTGGCGGCAGGCAGCGCCCGCGCCAATGGAGACGGACCGGTGCCCATGCATCTCCTTGGTGCCGGACCAGCCAAGGCCCTTCACGTTGGGTGTCCTGTCCAAAGATGAGCGAGCATCGACCACTCGCGTCCTTGTCGTCGCATCGGTCTCCTATGTTCGTAACACTCCCTTGACCACGTGACCCGTACCTTCGGGCTACAGCCTACACTTGGGGATAATGTCAGTCCCATTTCGGGAACCACAGGTCACGTGACGTCATGCTCCGCGAACAGATGCAGCCGTGGGGAGGGGAAAAGCGGGAGACGATTGAAAATGACGGAAAGGGTTATCACAAGCCGAGTAGGTGTTGTGGTGTACCGAAAGCCCAAAACTACGCCACTTTCCCATTTATTTGTTATGAGCTCTACCTTTGCATTTCGGTTACGCCTTTGCACTCGAACTCGCACATTGGTATGGCTGTTGAAGCGTCGATAGCACTTTTGTCGAAGGACGTTACGGTGCTCCAGTACACGATTTTCCTTAGGGAGTTCTCGTAGACCGTATCTACAGTCCCGCAACGCTCTTCGCAACCCGCTAAACGAGATCCGGTACTTCGCGGACAAGGCTATAGCGGCGCGCATGCGCATTACTGCTGTCCTCGTTGCGGAGGGCCAATAGCTGAGGGGTATGCGAATACGGTCTACGTAAACTCCCTATGGATTCAGTAACTCGCGAACCGGTCACTCTCCCAATTTCTCCCTAAAAGGGAGTTCCAGGCCTCCCAGGAGCAGACGGAAAACCTGGAATTCCGGGAGTGCCGGGGATGAAGGGAGAACTTGGCAATCCCGGGGTACCGGTAAGGGGGTATATCTGTTCGCTATACGCCAGCGGTATATTGCTGGGCACCATGAATCTCGGTGCATGAAACGTTGATACAGTGCTGTCCAATGTAATCACAGCAATTGAGGGGAAAAAATATGTACTATTATTTGTCTTCTTTTTTTTTTTTTTTTCGGAAGCAAAGCTTTTTGGGGGCACATTCGCACGACTTCAACTATTTTCCGCCCCACAATTCTTGGTTTGATTGCGATTATAAGGTGTGATATAAAAATTAATCTTCAACATTTTCATTTTTTTTTTTTGGTTCGAACTATCCTTTGAGTGAAACTCATTTCTTGATTTATTTATTAATTTTGTTCTTAGTTTGTACCATGTTCTAATTTCAGCGACAAAGTAAGTTACGCGGTCTCCACTGAGAGCCTATATAAAATACGATATATACTTTCTTGTAGCCGTTGTAGAGTAGAGTGCCCCCGCCATATATTAAGAAAGTTCGAAACAAATACTGTACCCGAAAATTACAGCCGTGGTGCCCTCCCCGTAATATACAAAACACTATAATAAGTAAAAAAGAAGTTGATTTATATATAACCTACATTTCAATTAATCAAGCTTCTGCTATAAAATCATCGTCCTAACGAGCATAACATAAGCTTTCAATCAACCCTGGAACAAAACTGGCCCCTAACCCCATAATCGTCATAAAGAACTCTACGTGTCGTATAAGACTCCTTAACCCAGAAACCCTGTACTAAATTGCGTATTAATAACTGACGAGCTGCGTAATCCTAAGAGCGGAACGCCGGTGGTGCCTAGGGACTACCGGGACTGGACGGACTACCAGGACTACCGGGACCAACCGTAAGTTCACGTCGTCATCGCAAAACTTTAACCGCCTCGAACGTTTTTTTTTTTTTTTTACCTTCTTGAGGATAGTTTGAGGTTGAAGTCTATGACGATTTAAATCGTCATAATGGGAAATGTTTTCTCGTGATCGTCCTTTCTTTGAGATCCACAGGGACCTGTGGGATCTAAAGGCTCGACCGGAGCCCCCGGAGTACCAGGAGCACCGGTGAGTCAGCTTAAATATAGCCTATTTAAATTTATATTACTTTTTACCGGCATTATAGTAGCACCTAGTTTCCTTCAACATCTGCAGTTTTCCGTTGTTGTTGATGTTCAGTTATCATCGAGCTATCTACTGTTGTTTGTTGGCTCACAGGGCTTGAAGGGTCAGAAGGGAGACAACGGAGTTCCTGGCGAACCAGGCGTACCGGTATAGTTCGAATTTCTTATCCGATATCTTGCATGTTATGAGGTTCATATTCGTTCCTCGCAATGACTTTAAAAACATCAGCATATTTGAAGCGAATAAAAAAAAAAAAGGGTGGCATTGGCATACATGATCTCTTCTTCCAGGGGAGCCCTGGTACGATGGGGCCCAGGGGACCACAAGGACTTCCTGGAAGCGCTATTGTGGTACCATATTGTTCGTTCAAACGTTTTGGTGTGGGAATGTTTCGCGTGACTCGTCGTCACCTACATGAGTGCAGTGACACAGCACATTTCATTGTAAAACCACGGCCACTCGATCCCCCCTGATCGAGTGGCCGTGGTAAAACTGTCGTTCACAAGACATTTGTTCCCTTTTGCTAGTGTAAGTTACGTCTGAAGGAGGTAGGGCGGAGGTAAGTAAGGCTGGAGAGGAAGAAGCAGACGAAACGCTGGAGAGGAGAAGGGGAAAGCTCCTCCTCTTTCCAACGTTCCGTCTGCTTCCTCCTTTCTGGCCTTCCTTTCCCTCGCCCTACCTTCTTGAGTTGCAACGGACTACAGTGTCTAGAGACATAAATTTTTGCGCCATGACTACAGATTTCCTTCCCAATAACACAAGTTACTTTGCAAAGGCCGTCCTTTTGTACATTCCGAGTATTCGACAGAAAAATGAAGGACAAGCGTTCAATTTTTTTTTCAACATGAAATGATGGGAGACGCAAGCGATTACGAGTAAATTAAAAGCGATTGTCATCACGGTAATTGTTCTCAATTCCGAGACTTGTAAACGTGACGCGTTCCTACTGGAATATGATTGAGTACCTTGAATCTTTGTTGGGTCCACAACAGAAAATTTAATATTATAACATAAAATTTGTAAGTGAGTCAATTATTGCGACAAAACGAATTAAATTTATGATATTGCTTATAACTTGTTTCCAGACTGAACGATGCAATGTAACCGCTTTAAATTTCGGACTTTCTGAGTAACTATTTCTAACGATGCTCTATCACGTACATGAAATGTAACTCAGATCCAATTTAAATTTATTTCTGAAACCCCGTTTCACTTCTAGAGTCAGGGAGCAGTATTTTGGTACAGCAACGCACGGTGTAGCATGCATGCATAGGGCTTTTTTTCTCGAGTTGATAAAAACTGCAACCATTCCCACAGTCCTCCGGCATGCCCATGCTTCCACAAATTATCTCCTTTTGGATGAATATAATATTTGTCTGTTACATGCTGGGCTGACTCCCCCACGCCCTCCAGACCGAAGGTTCCATAGGACCTCCCGGAGAAGTCGGACCACCGGGGCCCATGGTAAGGTTACCGTTGAACTCAACAGACTCTCGACAACCTATTCCGGTTGATGATCCACTACAGACTCAATATCAAGTTTTAGTGCAGCGCCTGTAAAGCAGTTCCGTACGCTCGAACAATAGAGTTGCGTACGAAACCCATGACAACAGTATTTTCGGCGTACGCAACTAATTTGCAGTACTCATGTACTAAAACTTTATAATACTGATTACTTTCTCGTGTCTCTACTAAATTAAGGCGTATACCTATGTGTGATTTTAGGTTGTACAAAGTGTTGCAGACGTCTGTAGGTACCAACACAGTTTGTGTGACTTAACGCAGTTTCTTCTAATCATCTTTTTATAGTTCCGGAGAACGTGTTTTATTTTGAATAATTTATAATTTTTTTTTCTGGTGCCGTAATTTCTTGCGTCTGTCGAGCTCAAAGCGACGTACCTCTATGCTGGTAGAAAATGAGGCAGACGAGGAGGCGAGAACGCGCAGGGCACGCCAGAACACTCATGTCTGCTTGGAATGATTAGTGGGTAGAGGCCAAGCTATAGTTAAATGTATACTGACTGCACGAATGCGTTCGAACGCGAACGCCTGACGCGGGTGTTCGGCGTTCAGACGCGTTCGAGGAGAGAGTAGACACGAAGACAGCTATGCGGACCGCAAGTTCGTCTGCTTTTTGCCCAGGAGTTGCAGTAACGTCAGTACGGTACGCCGAGCTCTTATTGGCTGACTGAGGTAAAAAAAATTGGTTAAAAACTTTGAGGGATTTAGCATTGAGGTCTACCCACTATATTTTCAATCAGAGCTGCGGTGACGCTGTTCTGACGTCACTGCAACTCCTGCGCAAGAAGCAGACGAACTTACTCCCCGCATAGCTTTGCGTCTACCCTCTAATCGTTCCAACCAGAACCTTGCGCTCTGACGTTACCGCGCGCTCTCGTCTCCTCCTCGTCTCCCTCAGTTTCTACCCGCATAGTCACTGGCAGATGGAACGCAGGGCGCGACAAATCTCGAACATCTCATTATCGTACTGCAGCCAATCATATTGCGGCATTAGACTATGAAAACGACTGAAAATCAAATCAAAAACCGCGAAGCTTGAAAAAAAAAAAAAATTACACTTCGCGTTTTTTTTTAGTTTTTAGTGACTAGAGCTACGACACCGATAAACGGAGTGCGTCGTATAAAGTAATAGACCGTTTTCAAAAGTCCATCGAGCAACATCGGCGGTCGCCATTTGTTGGGCACGGAGCGCGTGATTGGCTCCAGTTTTGCGGAATGGGCACTCCCATTCCATTCTAATTCCATTCCGGGGAATTAGAGTTTTCAATAATTCCATTCCTTTCAACTCCTAAAAATGGGGACCTGGGCCCATTCCCACTCCTGGAATGGCTGAATTGTTCCATTCCATTCCTCTAATTCCTCAACGTAAAAATTGGCACTTGAGAGCTACATTGTGTTGCCGGCATAAGCATCATAAAACTGACATTATCAAACGCATAGACAATTGCAAAAAATGCAAAATGCCTCAAAAAAGCACTAATTTTACTAAGCGGAGCGCTGGTGGCACAAAGTGTTTGTTTACATTGTACTGCAAACATAAAGAAAGCCCCTTGATAAGTCGATGCTTGCTTAAAACATCGGTCTTTCGACCACGTGGCTCGCAACAAACAGCAAAACCTAAATCCACACATTTTTTTTGGCAAACCTTTTTGCATTTGTTTTCTAGGACATACGTGGCCAGCGTGTTTGTTTAATAAGACCATAAAAATATCCAGTTTACACGTGGCGCAGAAATAAGCTATATTATTGTATTCTTCAAATACCTGCACAGCAATACGGCTAGGACGCTGCTGGAAGCGACTCCACGCACAGTGGCAAGAACACATCTTCTGACAAAGTGCAACCTCTACGGCGGAGCACGAGAGGCTGTATAGACCATGTCACGAAACTGCCTTTCTGCAGGTCTACTCAGTTCGGTCAAGCGACAAGAGTGGTGACGACAATCTACTTCACCTTACGATGAACCGCAACATACCGCACGAGAGCCCATCGAAATCAATTCAGTGCCTTCTGAGTGCCGCGTGACCCTGGGGCGTAGCAACGCGCCGTATGTGTAGTCCCCCTCACTGCGCTGGATTGCCTGGGGTGACTCGTAGCGTCCGCAGCGGTCTGTCGCAAGATGAAACACAAGATGAAACCATGAAACCTCTTAAACCTGGGTTACCAGAAAACACACTGGCGCCATCTATTGGGAAGCAGTGCAAACTCGGCGGTCCGGCATATTTTTTTTTTATTTCTCGAGCATTATCCTTTCTTTCATGGCTCGAAAAACTTTTGACAATGTTATAAACGAGCCTTTCTATGGGTATTACGCACATTTGACCTCGAAAATCCTGCAAAACCTTCGCTCTTGTGAAATGCAGTTCCAGGGTCACCGCCTAGATGGCGCCACAATGTCAGTGTGTTCCCTCATTCTAAAAACATTTAAGAAGTTGTAAGAGATCTCGTCTCTCTCAGTCGTACTCGGTCGCAAGAGTGTGAACGGGCCTTAAAGTCAAAGGAATGAGTGGGAATCTGCTAGCTGGCTTGTAAACCTAACCCACTTGAATGTAAAACATATAACACAGAACACAAGCATCGGAACAAAGACCAAGTAAAAGGCGGACTTACACGAGCAAATGTAGTATAAAAAGACACGCGTCGGAGCAAAGTGCAAGAGGAGAAGAGAGAAGTGAATCTCGCTTTGTTTTAATGCCGAAGCAAACCCAGATTTTGCACTTCAAAGGAGCGCGCGCGAATGAACGTGGAAGGCAGCAGGGTTGGCCGCCTGTTAAACAACGCTCCTCGAACTATAAGAACACAATAACTGATCATCGTTCGGCGGCGCGCGAGTCAACGAGTTATCAGAGCTCTGCGAGTTATGAGTCACTTCCGCGCGTGCATGCTCCATACCTTCGTTTCGTTTGCTTGGTGCTTGGTTTCTTGTTTCGCTCGCTCTCGTGTAACGCCAGTAAAGCTCGTCGCCTGCGCCAAAGGCGCCAATGCCCCCCCCCCCCCCCCCCCCGCTCCCTCCCCCCTCTGCTCTTTGCTTTGACGTTTTTTTGTATTGCATTTTTTACGTATAAGTCTGTTAGAGCTCTACGTGGGTTAGCTGTTTCCCGCCCGCCCCTTTTATTTCTGAGCAACTGGCTCGCTGACTGGCTCAATTTCACTGACCGTAAACACACACAAAAAAAAAATAATAATAATAGAAGAACAGGGCTCATTCCATTCCCATTTCATTCCGGGCAAAATACATCTAATTCCATTCCCATTCCATTCCCCTCAACGTTGCCGCCATTCCATTCCCATTCCATTCCGGGGTCGCGAAAATTCGGAATGATTCTGGAATCATTCCAACTCCGGAGTGGCAACTCCGCAACACTGATTGGCTCAGAGTCTTCGACGATCGCTGACGCAGCCCTCGCGTCCAATAAAAGCTCAGAGCACGTAGTCAAGCAACGGCGGACAGGCGATGGCGCGGACTTGCGAAAGTGGTTTCTATTCGAGCATTACTGCTTAAACGCTATTTTGGAACGTTTATATATATATATATATATTGCAAACTTGTTTTTTTTTTTGTTTTTTTTTGTAGGGTGAACAGGGCCTACAGGGGCTACCTGGCCCAGTGGGTCCCCCAGGAAGCAAGGTGCTGTTTCCTTTATTTCTAACCGTTATTTAGAGTCGCAAGGTGCAGTTGTTGTTGTTTGCGTTATGCAAGGTTTGTGCGCGTTATACAGGGAACAAAAAAAAATAGAAGCATTGCAAATTGCTAGGCAATTATATTGCATACGTGAAACCATCTTGCTTCACGAACGTTTAGCGATACTCTGAGTTTCGCAGACGCCAGACACCTACGTTCACGGAGTTCATCAGATAGTTTAACGTGCATTACGTGTATACCTGATAGTGGTTCCTGGAATCAAGCGATACTACCGCTAATCGGGCTGATAAACATGGCGGTCTTCCGGAGCCTTCCTATACTCTCGAGCTCCTCTCCCTCAGTGCGCACAGGTGGTCGAGTTCTTCCTTGCCTACCTCTCGAGTCACATGACTTCCCCGTTCACCAATCAGAGTCGAACCTTTCACTCCACCTCTCCCACTCGTCAGCCAATCAGTGTCAAGCCTCGCGGCCTCGAGTTCTTCCTTGCCTACCTCTCGAGTCACATGACTTCCCCGTTCACCAATCAGAGTCGAACCTTTCACTCCACCTCTCCCACTCGTCAGCCAATCAGTGTCAAGCCTCGCGGCCACGCTTTTATTTGGGCCTCACCTTTGGGCTTCACGAAATGCCGAACATCTACCCAAAGAACATTTCACGTTAAAATAGGCGTCGTACGCCATAGTTGAGTGCGTTTTCACACGACCATATCTTCCGAATTCTAGAACTCTCTTTTGCTATGGTTTATGACTAAGAGTATCCCCAGAAGGCCGGGATTCGTAGTCTCGGTAACGTAATAATACCAGACTTGATTCCGGCGAAGTCCAGAGAGCGATTTTTCTTTTCTTGTTTACATCAGCACGGTTTCAAATAAGGTGCTAAAAAATGCTGTCATAAATCAGCGAACACAAATGTGCAATAAAGGTTTTCATTGACCGAAATTCACTGTATGTTTTTAAAAAAGTTACCGGTGGCTGAGATTAAGCTAATTTTTTCATAAAATCTTAAGATTCTTCAGAGTCTTGTCAGGTCTCCATCACATGATCATGGCTTGTGATAAAAGTCATCATCTAAGAAGACTTGGGCTCAGTATACCAAAGGTAGAAACTGCGGTGTCCAGTTCGCGTCCCCGACTGGTGCGTTTATATCGACCCATTCCACACATGCATCGAAAGTGGTTCCGAAGAGGCGACAAATGGCGTCGCAGACGTCGGAGGGTCGTGCTGTCGGATGACGCGATCCTGGCGGTCGGTCGTAGAAGTTCCGGCAAAAAGCATGTCGCTGTCGTCGAGGTGTCCCAACTCCTGACGGCCGAAGTTTCCGTAGACTGTCACAAGCTGGCCAGAGAGCGACCTGCAGCTGAACGAGCGTCTGCCACACTAACCACAGCTGTTGGGACGCCGCCAGATTCGCGGTCGGCGACAGCGCGACACTTGTGTGACGTTATCAGACGGAAACCGAGGAACCACTTCTTGGGACGCGGTAAACGCAGCAGTTGGAAACGCGTTACCGGCACAATATGATAGGAACATACGAAATATTTGGAAATCTAGAATAATGTGATCAGTACCTAGTTGTGTAACGTTAAAACATTCTTAAGTATATAACGCGCTTATGAGTGAAACCTAAACCTTAAGAAATAGATACAAAATTAAACGTTTCCTGTAACTTAGCTGCCACAAGCAATTAGCTCCGAGAGAAAAAAAATTAATTAAAAATATGCGTAACATATACATCTAAACTTCTAGGGCGAACCCGGCGAAAGAGGAGTCACGGGGAAGACGGGCCCCCGTGGTCTTACGGTGAGCACAGTCTTCCAGTAAGCATGGTCTCGCGGTAAGTATAGTCTCCTTTTGAGGATTGTCTTACGGTAAGCATGGGCCTATGATATAAGCGTGGTCTTCTGGCATAGACATGGTCCTATGAAATAGACATGGTCTTGTGGTATAATCATGGTTTTACGATAAGTGGGTTTAAGGTAAGGGTGACTTACGTTGGATAAGCTTCAGGACTGTGAGGTTTTGTAGAAGCTTCATGGGGTCCAAGAGCGTGCTGTTCTTATGTGTGCAATGTATGCGAAATGTAAAATAAATTAAACAGAAACTTGTAGTGAATTCGATAAACACATGTGCGGTCAATTTTAGAAATTTTTTTCGCGGGGTCTGATGAAAAGGTTAGATTGGTCCCAACTGTTTTGGTTGAGAAATTTTGTGTTATCGCAACCGGGGATCTTACGACCTATAATTTCCGTAATAAAAGCAAAAAAAGAAAAAAAAAGGGGGGGGATATTATCGAAAATGAAAGGTTAACTCAAAATTAATACGTACCCACACAAAATTCTTGTCCTGTTGATTTTTGTGGACTTGGAGAAAACATTTCTTGGGGTTCAGCAATATCTTCCTGCGTAGCGCTCGGTCTTCGCGCTCTATTTATTTGCCGAACAACGTCAGACAATTTTGTTTCAAGCGCAAACTAAGTTTTGTAATCACGTTGCGTTTTGGTAACGAATTTGGTTTAAAAAAAACAAAAAAAAACAAATGCCAAGTGTTTGCCAGAGAAGAGAACCCTGTCTTTCCTACTGACAACACAAACTACGAATCACCGTACCTCAGCCTCGGTCCAAATCTATAGTACTAGTGGCTGTGACCCGATGCCGAGGTTTCAGAACTTACCGTTATCTAAATCGGAAGATATATAAAGGGATTTTCAAAAAATGTTCAATGAGAAGATGGCGACCAACGGAGCCCACATATACATGGAGACGAATGGCAAGCGCATCCAGGAATACTCCTTATAATTTCATTGAACATCTTCTGAAACCGTCGATAATCATTAAATTAAAGCTTCTGAAACTTTTAGATCTGGGTCGGACCCCTATAGCGCTGCATCTTGGCGGAGATTCTGGGTTCGGCAATGCGCTATGTGTATTCTTGCAGTGAGAGAAGCACGGTTCTGGTTTCCTTCCTAACGCTAGGTGCCTCTCATTATTCTCTCGCGGACAGCCACAATATGTAGAAATCACGTCTTATTTTCTCCTAGACATCATATTTGCCTTGTGAAATGATCGTCACATATAAAAAAACCTGTTTACGACGAAAGTGAATCAGGCTCATCTACCGCCACCAACTTTATATTCTTAGTTTTATGACATGATAGTTTCCGTTGTTTTGTTTAATTTTAATTGTTTTGAATCAGCTTTTAATATTTTTTGGTCAGACGCATTGTCCTCTAATTAGGCTCATTTAACGTCGCGTTTAACAGATATGGATATAGAGGGTATTCCACGGAACTTCAGCCAAGGTTTAAAATATTTTGGTGCATTTTAAGAAGACTGAAGCAAATAAGTTTTTTTTTTTGTTTGGAGCAGGTCAGGCTTTTTGTTTTTGTATTTCGCCCGATTAACTAAATAATTAAGATTAATTATATAAATTTTGAAATATATAGTTTATAGCAACAATTTTTATGGCGAAGCTGTAGAGTGTCCTCAGAAGCATTCAATTCAGTAGTTTTTATTAAAAAAAAACATAATTAACACCTTTTTTTGTGTGTGGGCTTCGAAAAAAGTTTGCGAATTATGAAAAAAACGTGTGACTCCCCATGTGCACCTTGTATTCCAGTGCTTTCAGCCGTGGCTTGAATAAACTAGGCCTGCCTGTTGAATAGTACACTGTTGACTGGGCGCTGTCAATAAATTCGCGTTTGTATTTATTATTTTTTTCTATAATTCAGGCACTTTTGTGAAGCCCGGAAAAACGAAACTTGTTAGAGATTTCTTGATAAAAACACTGTAATAGTTATTTCCGAGGCCGCTCTACAACTTGGTCATTGGAACTTGTGCTCTAAATTGAATTGTAGAAATAAATGAACTGCGCAAAGGACGAGGACAGAGGTCATGAACCTACTAGCCCGCCAAAAGTGTTACTTCTAAATTTAATATTTCATAAAGCTCGTTCGTTAATCCTAATTAATTAGATAATTGGGAAAAATACAAAAAATAGCCAGAGTTGCTCCAAACACTAAACAAACTTATTCGTTTGATTTCGTCTTCATAAACGTCCCCAAAATATTTTTAAACCTTGGCTCAAGTTATATATATTTGTTGAAAACGTGTAGACACTGACGATGCACTGGGTCATCAATCCTTGCTTGCTTGTCATTATTATTTTCCCGCACCAGGGAGAGCCTGGTCCAAGAGGACTGCAAGGAGAGCAAGGCATACGAGGTCCTGCAGTGAGTGTTCATTTCTTGGCTTCTGGTCACACGTTCCTTGTAAAGACCGGTGGGCACATAAACGCAATAGACGTGCTGACAGCCGAAACGAAAAGGTTACGGACAAAAATGTTCACTAATTATATTTTTGAATAATGTTTATTTATTCAGAAAGCTGGAAATCTGTAAAAGAAAGCATGAATAAAACGCTTCGAAGTGCCTGAAAGGTCCGTGATCAAAGTGAATAAGTTGTAAAAAAAAATTGTAGCGACTTTTACCTTCAAAGTACTACAATGCATGAATCGCAATATTTAAGGTGCAATCGTTTAAAATTGTTTAGAAGGCATTAAACCGTCGCTTCGGGGGTCGGAATAGGAACCTTTATTTTTACCAGTTCCCCGCTGCATTGAGTGGGAAAGCTTGGTGCATCCGTCTCGTGACATCAATTTCTCCATCGACCGTGGCCGCCTTGGCGAAGAATCTTGATTGGTGTGATATAAATTGTGACACGTGACATAAATTGACGTCACGTACCGTAAGAACGAATTCAGTTTTCCTTCTAAATTTAGCGGGAAATTCACGAACTGACGCACAGACCAACGAAAAAAGTTTTGGAATAGGGGGTTCTGAAAAAAAAAAGCATTTTATGCTTTAATAATAAATGGATGAAATAAAATATATATTGTAGCATCACATCTTAGGATTCATTGGTTAATTATTGTCCTATATTTTTTTTTAAATTTTAATTCAAGCTATAAACGTGTTTTTTTTTTTTTTTCATTGCAAGAAAACGGCACGAATATACGAAAAAATTTAAGCGTAAAGAGTTTGTATCACAGCTATGAGGTTAATCATGAGTAAACTCATGGCATTGTTTTACGTGTATATAGTCGACTAGATGACCACACTTGCAGTTGGATAAACAATCTGCAGATCGGTGGTAAATTCGGTGATTGACCATTTGTGTTAATATTTTTGCTCATCTGATTGCTTTACTAAATATAATTCTACTAGAAAAATTTTTTTGGAGAAAAAAAAAGTATTTACTAAAAAAAAAGCAGCGAGCCAACTTGGAATGCAACTAACTTACGTAATCGTGATGCAACTAACTTACGTAATCGAACCAATTTACTAAATACGGGGCAGTATACCGTATCAGCTGATCGGTTTTTAAATTGACTACTTCTGATCACGTGTAGTTTAGAATGAGCCGTTAATTTTGCACTTTTTGATACCATTCCCAGGGTCCTCCTGGGCGCGATGGTATTCCAGGAACCACCTCAGAAACGTCTACATCTCCCGTAAGTCTGCATATTCTTAGTCTGAGTTGAGCTTTATAGGCTGTATTGCTTTATTTGAGTAAGCTGTACAAGTCTAAATTCATTACATTATTATTGTTGTTTTTTATTTAATTATTAGGGCGTACCGGGACTTCCGGGAATACCAGGAGAGACCGGACCTCAAGGACCTCCCGTAAGTACGGCGGAGCCCTATATTAATTAGTACCTCACAATTAATTGAAAAATAATTTTAAGAAATAATCAGCGCGTGTGAGGTGCAATTTATTAGAGCACAGTTAGGACACATGGAGCCAAACAATTATTTCCATTGTAGTAAAATTAATAATGAGCACCAGTGAGTTGTAATGCGGCGTTTTATGTTATTGTGCATGTTTATCATTATTATACTGTTGTGTAACCGATTTCTTAAGTTTGTAGGCATCGTCCTTGCAGTGTTCTATAAAATTGTGTAACATATATATTTTTATGCTATTGGTGTAGGGTGCATATAAATGCTAACGTGTATGCAATGTTCATTGTTCTACATCTCTCTGCTGCCTGTGTATGTTTTGTATATATGCCTACGTTTGCATTGTTCATTGCCCCCGATCACACATGTCTGGATCCTCAATGTACCTATTAATTAATAAATAAATAAATGAATGTTTGACCTATCGTGATTACTCTAGGAATGATCATCAAGCTATCTTAATTTTGAAAACAGTTGATCTATTTTTTATAAACCTGGATTTTTACCTATTATCGATGTGCACTGCGTGACACTGTCAGCGTGAATACGACATGGAAGCTCTTTCCGTACTTCACTAAACATGTAATTAACGAGCATGAAATTTCACCGCTTAGGTTAGCGCTCCAAATTAACTTTTTACTTCACAATAAGAGATTCTTTTTTTAATGACTGTTCTTTTATTTTAAAATGACAACATAAAAACACTGGCGATCGCTTGTTCGCGCTAACGGTGCCGCACAGTGTGCTTGCTGGCTTCTCAGCAAAACAGGAGACATTTGTTTAGATGCTGATACTTATTGTATGTGTTAACTCCTTGTCTTCAGGGAGAAAAGGGGAGTCGAGGACCGCCGGGCATTCAAGGAATTGAAGGAGAAAAGGTGATCTTAACGCAGATATGCCGTTTGTTTTATCATATTTTACTTTTGTTTTTGTTAGCGTTTGAGATGGTACTGATGGCGACAATTGTGTTTTGCGAAATATTGATTATCTTCGGTAGAATTCACTACCATTCGATTTCTGTCTACATAACACGGCGATCTATCTAAGACGTATAGCTACCAACTCTGAACAGATTATAAAGAAATACTATACCCAACAACCAAAGCTAGCATATTTCCCGCGCAATCCAAAAATTCAAACGTGTTAGGTTAATAAAGCTGATTTGCTCGGTCATTCTTTAAGCTGGGCGGTTTGCGTATCTATCGGAAGGTCACTTGATCTGGATAAGTATTTTTCTCACAAAGTAATATATGTGTCAGGATTAGCGATGATGATAACGCAGACTTTCATTTCTCACCGATTCCAAGCATTCATCATTTTCGTTCTAAGGACAGCCAGCGAAAAAAAACAATTATCTAATTTTTCCCCCTTTCTTTTTTTCCCTACAGGGAGATAAAGGCGACCGCGGCATCACTGGACTTCCCGGACCAACTGGGCCGAAGGTTTGTCATAAAGATTTATAGTCTGTTTCACCACGACCGTCATAAAGCTTTAGTCGATTTCACCAACGACCATACATAAAGAGAAGACTCCTTGCAGGTAACACCGATTGGCGCGTTTTTCAGAACGTCACATCCCCTGATTACGGGGGGAAAGGGGGGGGGGGGGGGTGGAGAGAAGAAGGGGGGACCTAGAGGAAAACACGAGGAAATGGTTCCGTAGTCGCTATTTTGCGCATGCGCTTTGACCATGCATTGGATAGGAGTGTTACGTCAGTGTTCGCTGCGAACTCAGATCCCATCACGTGCTTCGTGTAGGAAGCGAAGCCCGAAAGATGGCGGCCGCGAGTGTTGCTCGATGAACTTGTAAACAATAGACTATTGTCATCGGAAACGTTTCAACGATGAGTTAATAAGCTAAACAAGAGTCACATCCTTGCAGGGAGATCGAGGAGAGAGAGGGTACCAAGGCGACTCGGGGCCAAAGGGTGACAGGGTAAGTCACGCGGAAAATCAAGTCAAGCATACCCGATGTGAAGTACACAGTCATTCAGATATATAAAAAAAAGAAAATGCAGAGCACTACTGGTAGGAAGCGATATCATATTTCAATCAAGGAAAAAAAAAACTTTCAGCCTTTCCACTCTAGTGAAGAAGGAAGACCAGCGAAGCTGTACTATGGTGGGAATAAGGTAGTGGCCGGCCGCAAGTCGGCAAGCCAGAAGGCTGGAAAGGCTGGACAGCTACCGCCATCAGTGAGCGACGGCGGCAAACAGACAACCGGCAGGCCGGTTTTCTGGTTGCCGCCGTCGTTAACAGACGGAGGTAGCTGTCCAGACTTTTGTGTTGAGATTTGTTTGCCCACGGACACGACACTGGGAAAACTAACCCTTTACAAATTCGAAGTAAAAAAAAAAAAAACGTGTAAAGTTTTTTTTTTTTTTTTGGTTTTGAAGCACTTGGGGTGTTTTGCGCTCTCTTTACATTCACATATTCAATCATTTTTGTATACTGAGCATTTCCTATTGTTCGTCGTTATTAATCTATTTTCATGGTATCGTGGAAGCCGATCACTATGTTTGAGTTTGAAGCTTTCAGCTGAAGGCATTTCTTTTCTGCCTATTTGTGTACGTATGTGAACTGTAAAGGGACCAGTGCCTCGTAAGCTTCTTAGCCTTTTGCACCGGCCCCTCTATCGGACCCTGTCGGAAAGAAGACAATACAAAAAATAAATAAATAAAGTAACAATTTCTCCCCCTCTTCCCTAAAGAAACACACACACAAAAAAAAACTCATAATATTCGCAAACTTTGTTCCTTTGCGCAGGGCCCCTCCGGAGTTGATGGTAGCAGAGGTGAACCCGGACTCATCGGCCTCCCTGTAAAAAGCCAGTTATTTCTCCACGTATTTAAAATTGTAATGATGGGATGCTTTTATTATTAATAATTTTCGAATGGCGTGTGAAAAAAAAAAAAGTGTTAACCCAGATATGCCTTGTTTCTCTTTTCAGCCATAACAACGTGCAAAAGCTTTTAAAGTGTTTCGTAACGCGACATAAATTTTCTTACTCTTGTATCGGGGCACGACGCGTGGCCTAAAATCGAACCTAAAAGAGCGAAAGAAATTAATAATATTGAACATAGCTGCCTCATTTATAAAAATGGTCGCCAAAACGAAGGTATTGTTGCATTACTGAGCGATACCATGAAACTGACGGCGCCAATGTGCTTACATTGGTGTGAGCTTGAGTCGTGCTACATGTGCTCATGTGCTGTTCAGGCACTATTGTTCACATGAACTAAAACTAAGAGCTCAAAGGAACTGTTGTAAATTGAACACAATGATAAAAAAAAACGAAACTGAGACAAGAGATGGACAGCACAAACACAAAGTTTAAAACTTTGTGTTTGTAATTATGTGATTGTTCAATTAGTGACGTCACGTCTGCAGCAGCGACCTAAAAGACGCATCATAAACTGGATGTCATAACATGTAGTAAGTTTACAAATGAAAAAAAAAGAAACAAATATCTCAGGTTGTAAAAAAATATCGTCATAACTTATATGGTGATCTAAATACTGATTGTTATAAAACACGCGGTCTTTAAGGAATAGCCACCTTTGTTTTGGGTTTTGCATGAGGTCCTAAGATATCCTTGTAAACAGGGTCCCACCGGCAAAGACGGATCGTCAGGATTGTCGGGCCAGAAGGGTGAAAAAGTATGTTTCGTTTTTGTACCATATATTAGATCTTCGGGTTCTTGTGCGGGGCATTTATGGGATATTGCCTTACCATTATTTCACTCCAGACATATAGACTATACTTCATAAATTCCAAATAATGTATTTAATTCGCTAACTATTTGTTGTTATGATATTTGATGAAGAGCCACCTGCGTAATATATTTGTAATTTATTTGTGCTGCTGCGCTTTTGTAACTCGTGGTTCTTGTGTAAGGGAGGAAGCCATTTACGTCCTACACGTTGAATCACTGTTGGTTTAATTAGCTGGAAGAAAGCAGTTTTGGCGGGCAATAGCATCATATGCGCCAAAATAAGTTCTTCCCTCCCCCCTCCCCCGGGCTAATGGCGGCACAAAGTATTATTGGTGCGGTATGTGCCATTCATTATACCATTCAGTCAAGTGCATTTTAGACAAACACCTCCCTTTTCCAACGCGTCTTCGCTAAAGATGAACTGGCATTAACAAGCATAAAGTCAACCACGAAACTAAAGAAAGATACAGGAATTTTTAATTAAACTTGAGGAAGAAAATTATCCATGCCAACCCGCTCGTTCTGTCCTTATACAAGAATCTGTATGCTACATTTTATAATAATAATAATAATGTTAGCCTCACCGCCCGCTTTTTAAACCATGGGATCGTGCCTCTTTATTTGGCTTCGTGGCTCCTGGTATAATATAAAGGATTCCTTACCGTAAAATATCGGAGTTCTAATAAAAATATGCTGACTCATCTCAGGGCGAGCAGGGAGAGGTCGGCAAACCAGGAGACGTGGCCTACCCAGGAGAACAGGTGAGAATTCGTCGTCCGATGCGTCGGTGATGTATTTCAAACTTTTGTGAAGTAGAAAAGGTACCGAGGATTATATCCAGTGCCAAGTTACATGTTGTAGAGGCCTATGAAAATCCTTAATTTGTACGTGCTCGGTTATACTTACCGAGCTCCGTCGGCATCAGAACCACTCGCCAAGTTTGTACGTTTTATCATCACAAAAAAAAAAAAAGGCTCAATAACAAGCAGTGAGAGAGTGCAGGCGAGCTGGTAAACAATCGACATCTTGTAAACCCCGAGATTTTGTTGTGTTCGTCCGTTTTTTTATCGTTCCCCATCTCAGGGTTTACAAGATGTCAATAACAATTTGCTTGCATGAAAAAAAAAAAAAAAAAAAAAAACAGAAACAAGCGGACGCTGTTTACTAGGTGGGCGGAACGCGGTTTACCGGAAGCGAAAAAAGGCGTTTCATGAAGCCACCTTGTACAGAAGTTCTTCCTCTTAAAATTGCAGGGTCCGCCAGGCGTCGCTGGTCCTAAAGGAGAGCCTGGAGCTGACGGTCGGATGGTGAGATAATTGACCTCGTCTCGGTTTCTAAACATGTCGGAGTTGCGTTTTTCTAACCGTTACTCGTGACGGCAAGTTTGCTAACCATTACACCCAATGGCTCTATTTCTGTTTCTAACTCGCCAAAATGTGTTTTATTATTAGGGTATCATCGGACCTCTGGGTCCCAGAGGATTTCCCGGACCTCCAGGACTGCCTGTGAGTTGTAAAATTTTAACAGCTATATTCTTCGCTCGTGACCGTTACAACAGCTAGCACCTTTCCGGTGTTTGTATCGTCCAGGCGAAAAATGCCGAGTCACTTAGCCGTGGATGCATAAGCATGCGTCTGATCTTCCGCCGAGGACGGCTGCTGGGCAAGTTCGGAATGCGTTCCACAGCATACTAGACAAGGAGACTAGCAATGCTTGGATATCGGGCTAGTTGGTTTGACACTCTGGGGTATACTGCGCTGCGAAGTTATACTTAACCTATAAAGACGTAAACTATGAGATGATGTGAAAGACAGTTAAGAACATACTTGTGAAAGCTCGGCTGAACGTGACGTACTTGTGAAAGCCGAGCTTTCACAAGTATGTTCTTAACTGTCTTTCACATCATCTCATAGTTTACGTCTTTATGGGTTAAGTGTAACTCCGCAGTGCAGTATACCTCAGAATAGACAAGGAGGGCAGCGTGAAGAAGGCGATGATTGGAATCGATGGAAGATAAAAAAAGACATGCATGTGACAGGCCGCAGTATATATATTTGGGAGTGGCCATTACGGGTACTACTTTTCCAGGAATACCATAAAATGCTGCACGCGCCTTGGACCCTCTAAAGTTGACTAATTTAGTGGGTTTTGACCATCATTCAGCAAGTTCCAAATTGAAACAAAGCTTTTATTTTACATAAAAATAATCTACTTGAAAACTCCTTTTGTGTATGTGTGTGCGTTTGTGTGTGTGAAACGCTGTAGATCCCATAAACTGACCGATTAGAAGTAAATAAAAAGGTATGCTTGTTTTTTTTTTTTTTTTTTTTTTGCTTTTTTTCGACGCGTAGTTATTACAGGAAACATTTGGTAGCAATCAGTATACAACTATACAATATACAAGGAAACAGTCTGTGTATTAATAGGCAAACTGAGAGATCTCATTTCAACTAAACCATACATAATACTTACGCTGTTATGAAGATGTATGCGGTCCATTCGTAATCAACGTTCTGAATATAAACATTTCACTGAAACCTCGTTTCTGCCAGTTCAGTATTTAATACAAATTTCGACTTTTTTTTTTTTTTTTGTTTCAACAGGGACCCCCAGGGAAACCAGGAGTACGGGGAGAGCAAGGCGCCGAGGTGCTTCTTTTTGTGTCTTTTTTGTTTTGTTGACTGTGCTTATTTCATATATTTCTTTGTTTGCGATACTTGCACAGACAGTCAATCCAAATCAAGCCACTGGCAGCTTAAGGGTGTGGCTTACCATGTGTATGATCACTGAAACGCGGGACGTGGCGAGTTTCAAGCATCTCATTATCGCTCCTCAGTTAATGAGATTCCAGCATTAGAAAATAAGAACGCAGAAAGACGATTCACGAAGCGAGGAACATTAATCTGTGTATTATAATTCGTTCATTTTTCACTCTGATTAGAAGTCTTAACTGTACAAGCGGCCATCCGCACCAATCTCGTGCTTTAACTCGTTACGTGACTAAGGGTGTCGCGAACTTTTGTCGAACCTGTGGGTCGACTGGTTTGGCGAATCTTCGAACTTTTAGCGAAATTCGACCAAGCTCGACTTGTGTACAGTGTTGCCATACTTCTACAGAAAATGTTCGAGTATTGGGAAACTTTAGTTTATAAAGTAGCTGTTTAATATTTCTACAATAGTCACCAATGTTTTCAAGATAAAATTTTAAACATGTGTACCTTTTAATGTTTAAGTTTGTTTCGTAATGTGCGGCAATAAAACAATAAGCGTAACAAATATTGCGCTTCTCCTCCGCCAGGTGGAATCAGCTCGTTTTCAATTTTGCGCACGTGCACAAAAAGTCGAACTTCAGTCGAAATTTCGTTGAACTTGTCCATAGAAGTTCGAAAAGTCGAAACTGCATATTCTGACACGTGACAGGGTATCCAGGTTTGGCTGTGTTCACGCGGAGCGATGTCACATGACGCTTAAGAGGCACGGAATTGGTGGAGGTGGCTCGTGGCTTTCGTCCGCAATCAATGGAAAGTTCGCGAATAAACCAAAGATAACATTTATGGATGTTTGGACGCTGCAGTGGGTTGTACCGCAACCTCATTTTAAACGCCCCTAAGCAATTAAAACTGCGGCATCGCAACATTAATTAAGGTATACTGTTATCTAGTCTACGGGCTGTCGTTTACGTATGCATTTAATCCAATCGCTCTATAATTTAACTCGTGCGAATAAACATTTTTTACAATGTTGTTTATAAGATTCTTCTGGGAATAAATGAGTAACATCTCGATGTTACTCGTCGCATCCTAGAGTGGAATTTATTCGATGTTCCGGTTTTAATAAAGTGGTGTTCTTCCCGACAAACTCAGGGACCTAGGGGTGCCAAAGGAGACATCGGGCCGCCGGGGCTCGAAGGACCATCCGTAAACTATTCTTTAAATGAGCTTAACCCAGCTTAGCCTAAACTAACCAGCGACCGTTTTACCGCGTTCTTACTAACTTTATACCAAGTTCGTCCCCATAGCTGGAGAATACAGCGCCTAAATAATACGAGGACCAATTGCAACAGGGACAACACGAGGCACCTTGTCTTGTCCCTCTTGCCTTGGTCTTCGTGTTACTTCGGCGCTGTTTTCCTTTGCTATGAACCAACTGTCCCAAATTACCACCTTATTTCCTGCGCATGTTTGTTTATATATCAATTCATCTGACTTTGCACATGATGAATATGTTGACTATCCCAATTAACTTTAGTTTGGACTTGCATGCCAGCGATAAAACTAAATAAGCCGTAGATTTCGGGAAACTTAAAACTTTGAAAGAATTTAAACAAGAGCAGGTGATACGATATGTAATCGTTGTTTACTGAACAGTGATAATACTCTATATTTTTATTACATATTGCGAGTAAAACTGACAAATTGCAGTTACATTCTGAGGAAATCTATTTTCACAAACTAATTAAAACGCAGTTTTACAATACCTTTTGGAGTCACTTTCGATGTTTAAAAAGATAACAAGGATTAAACAAAAGTAAAGAAGAAAAAAAAAAACAAAAAAAAAAACAAGGCACCATGTGTTATTTCCTTTTAATTCGCGTTGCTTTTTTTTTTTACTTTTTAAACTATGTATTAACTAGCCCAATTAACCACTTTGACACCTTTGAAGTCACTAAATCTCTATATCTGAATAATAAAGATATATCTGCTTGTTTTGTCTAATAAAAAGGAAGCAAGAACAAATGCCTTTAATTTTGTTGACTGCAACTTATACACTCTCTGCATGTGAATCTTGCGAAACAGACTCTAACATGACAACAACATTCGGGCTCGAGCCCCTTGAGCTCCTCTGCATGATGCATCCGCTTTCAAGGTGAAATAACCTGCACAACACAGCGTGAAGGTTTGCAACCCAACACGTGCGCACCCGTTGCCTGGGAATCCGAGCAAGGCAGGCGTCATACGAAGAAACTCTCAAGATGCCACCTGCCAGAACCTCTTTAGCGGAATGATCTATAACCGCCAGGCTTTCGGAAACATGGCTGCCTATAACTAAAAGCTAAACGCTTCGCACTTATGAAGAGAAGGCAATGTTGGGAAGTTCTTCTGCTGCCCAAACGTTGGAACCGTTGTCCTCAGGGTGAGGTCGGCCCTCAAGGACGAGAAGGATCGACCGGAAAACCAGGTCCTAAAGTAAGACCCTGAGTCACAAACCTAAACCAACTTGTTTTGTTTTTTTATGATTCTTCTAACTGATTTACATGGGCAACTTTGGCGAAATTGGATTAGGTTGTAGATGGATACATGATTAGATGTTGTGGAAACCTATGCTCCATGCGCCTGGCTTAGTGACCTCATCGGGTGTGGAGTAAATAAATGGATTGACGGGTGATCGATGAAAGCCCTTCAAAATCGCCATATTGTGTTTAACTGAACATTTTTTTTTTCAGTAAGGTTTAGAAAAAATTTAGATGCTGAAATCTTCTTTCTGTAATTTAAAGGGAAAAATAGTTAGAGTTCTGGACTTCATTGCTCGATGGCGATCAGCAAAAAATTGTGTGAAATTCCACAATACGGGCGCAACGCGCGTTTTCAGTGGCAAGCTCAGAGCAAGCGTTTTGCCCAAAACCCCATTTCAAAGACAGCGAAACGATGTCCGGTTGTTTCTCGCCTAACATTCGCAATATACAAAACAAGATTTTCATCTGGGCTTGATCTTTAAATTATCTAACATTAACCAGATTATGATTTACAAAACTTAAAACACATGTTAGAAAAAAAAAGTAAGAAATCCAAGGAAAATCTAAACAAGCAAAATATTTCACGACCGTTCCTTTAAAAAAATGCATGTCTATATTATTTACTACAAGGAAATTTCAAAGTTACTCTTACGAAAACCATATTTGCGATTTCTGTGCGGTAAAGGTTTTTTTTCGACACGTCTTAGAATATTGCATTGAATGAGTCTTGTATGTTTCAATATTCTTTCAATTTTCAGATATATCTTTACATATGTTTCAGCCTTAAGATTATGATTGAATGGCTGCAATATCTTCAAAATGTTATTGCATTGCTTGAAACACGTAATGCGTTTAGTTGTAGGAGACGTGATTAAATTTCCTCGTCGATACAATAAAGAAAGGCAGATTAAAAAAAATTATTGTCCCAAGGTTCTAAAGAAGCAGATGCTTTATAAAAATCAGCGTTCTTTTAGTTCATAATGTGGCAGTGACTCACAGTGCTATTAGAACCAAGTCATTTGGGGCTGGTTAACTCGTAGCCTACTGAAAAGGCTGAAGTGAGATCGCAGCCCCTAACCTCCTGCAACTCTTAACATACGACACCATCTTCGTGTTTTTTTTTTCTTCGAAAGGGCACCCACGGTGACAAAGGACTTAGAGGCCCTGAAGGTCAAAGAGGACTACCAGGGCCCCAGGCAAGTCCTTTTCCTTATTGCTTTATAATGTCCAGCCTTTTCAAATGGTGCCGTGTGATCATACTTTAAGTTAATATACTCCAATTCTTCAGGGCCCCCCTGGTATCGCCGGCACTCCAGGACATCCAGGGTTACCAGGTCTGATGGGACCCATGGGACCTAAGGTAAGATGACGTTTCAGCAACTGGCGAGTCATAAAATGGAGGGACTGGGACTTATAGGGTCAGCCTTTTCTTTCAAAATTTTCTCGAAAAGTTCTTTTATAAATCAAATGAATACGGCAAGTCAAATCTTAAAGCAAATGTATTCGTGGGTACTTGCATAGCAGTGATTGGAGAGCAATCCACCGCAATGTAAGGAGAAATATAGGCCAAAGACAAGAAAATAAAACGATGATAATGCAATTAAAAGCAGAGCCGCAAGCGAGCTGGACAAGGAGATTATTTTCTTCAAAATGAAACGTTTTCAGGGTCAAATAAAATCTGCGGTGGGACACTGATCTTCACTTTTCATGTGTTCATGTCAACTCGGATGCCAGCAACCGCATGGTCTTGCCTTCAAATTATTAGCTCGCAAACTGGAGGGCACTCATAGTCACTGAGAAGGTAAGAACGGCGTGGAAGAGCTGCAGTTGGCCCGTCACCAGCGCGAACTTCCGATGTGGAGCGGAAGTTCGTCCGCTTCCTTTGCAGGGGTTTTGGTGACGTCATAAAGACGCCGAGCTCTGAGTGCTTCTGATTGAAGGATAGTGGGTAGACCTCAAGGCAGCTTTGAGGGTTACCCACTATCAGTCAGAGCCAATCAGAACTTAGTGCCTCACTGACGTCACCGCCACTCCGGCAGAAGAAGTGGACGAACTTGCGCTCCGCATACCTTCGACAGTGCTTTGGCGTCTCGTGCACCTCGAGTGCGAGCGCGCAGCAAAAGCACGGCGGAAGGCACGGAGCGCGTGCTGCAGGCCGAACGTTCGAAAAACGCGCCCTGCCGTTCTCACTATGCCAGTGACTCTAAACACTCGGCGAATTTTCAGGGACAGTCGCCCTTATGGGTTTGAAGGAGGGGTAACGTCAACATTTGCTTGTTTGTTTGTTTGCTTCAGGGAACCGAGGGATCTCGCGGTCTGCCAGGCGAAAAGGTTGGTTTCGTTCCGAATAAAGACGCAGTTTCGTTATTAAGCAAACTCTTGAGATTGCGCCCTAGAAAGCATTTCCATGATTTCATCGCTAAGCTATTTTACGAGTCCATTATTTGTGCGTAATTCGCGATTAAATCAATGACGACTCCGTGCCTTTGAACCTCTCCAGGGAGAATGTGTTTACCAGACAAAGGAGGAGTACCACGTGGGTCATAGCAGAACAGTGAGTAGAAAACATTTTATTCTTTTAATTTGTCGTAGACGCAACTTTTGCACTTGTTTTCTTCGTCCTTTTAATATTTGTTTCCTTAATTAATGTGCACATTTCCATAAAGTCCCCGGGAAGATGGGATATATACGCGTTCTTGAACCCCTAAGACTTACACCATTTTGTTTTCAGGGAGCAACTGGAGCTATGGGACCCCCCGGACTGGTATGCTATGTGTCTTTCTACAACCCTTCGAATATGACAAATTAAATCGAGTCTCTTTTTATATAAACACGCATAAGTATTTAATGATTAGGTAAATCCTTTTTCTATCAGTGCCGTTGTGAAAACACCTCATTTCATGAAGTGATCGGGTACCTTTGTCTACAAGATATACATAAGTGCATTGCGCGATAAATGGACTCGATTTTTTTTTCTAATAACGAAACATATCAGCCATGGCACGTTCTTATCCAGTCGCATTTGTACTATTTGACCACAAATATTCGTCCTATTTTTCAAAAAACCTGACGCTTGAAAACACGGGGTGCACAACCTCACGATGTTACCATGCTGTGACGTCATCATGGACGGCCAATCGCAGCCCGGGGAGAGGGGGGCCCGCGGGGACAGGGGACCACCAGGATCTCCGGGACAACTGGGCATGCCAGGTCCCTTGGGGTCTCCCGGCGTACCAGGGACACCCGGTACCAGAGGACAACCAGGCATGCCAGGACTGCCAGGACCACCGGTAAGATTCTGGCTCCGGGTTACTCAAGAGCTTAGAGTTATAGTGGACGGCTGATTTAAATAGCTACATATTTTCGTGCAACGCGGAGTAACTTTAGACTTAACGTTACCCCGAGACTTCAAGGGGGCAGAAGACGACACACACAAAAAGAAGCTTGGCTGAACATTTATTTCACTTGCAAGGTGCTTAAATGTGAAATGCAACTAAAGAGACAGAACGTCGCAAAAGAAAGTAGAAAAGCAAACACCCTCTTTCCACACCAATCCTAGAGGGATATTGCTTTCCTTCTTTCTTTTGAAATGTTCTGTGTCTCTGTGGCATTCTCTATTACGCACTTTTCAAGTGAAACAGGTTTCTAGCTGTGTTTCAGACTTTTTATGTGTACTATTACAATCAATATGCGTGTGAACACCGCTCTGCGTGGCACGCGGTACTGCGTGTCCCCTGTAGAATGCTCCGCGAAGCGTGGTTGCATGATGTGGTCAAGACCAGTAACAATCTGCGTTCTTTGCGCCTCCCTTCACTTCCAGATCGTCTGCATGCTTAGAACGTTCCCTCCACCGTTGTAGTGGAACGATTATCGCGTGAAAACAAATTCAAAGCGACATTGAACTTCAGCGATTAAGTTCGCGATTGATTTATGCTGTGTCATGCATTGCTTTTACAACTTCAGGAAACGAAAGATATTGCCTACTCTTGCACCGCAATAACTTGTTGCTTCTGACAACGCCTTTTGCGGCCCTTTGTCCTCGCAAAAGGCACCTGAAGCGAATAATAATAAAAAAGTTACTCTCACAGAATCTCACACTGTTAGCGAAAAGAAGCTCTCAGCAAGTGGTGAACTGTTTCACGGTTCTGCGGACCGTTCTTCGCTAGCAGACGATCCGGATGGGCAGGGTGGTACAACGATCGTTGGAGGCGATACGTCTCGTCCGCAAAGTATCTTTATTCCCACTGAGAATTCAACAAGGGGCTCTGGTAGTACGGTGAGTCACGCGGAGCGGCATTCATACTCATATTGATCGTGATAGTACGTAGCCCTTTGCTTACCTGCAGTCTATTTAGTAACATGGTCGTTTGTTTTTAATGTCTAGTTGTTGTAATTGTTGTTGCTGTTTTTTTTTTTGAGTGGGGTAGGGTTAAACATAATAAACCAGAAATACTTGACGGTTTTCGTACTCTCTATTGAAATGGAACTACGTGTTTGCTAAAGCAGCAAGATTCGGTTATCTTGTGCCCGCACAGCATTTAGATTGACTTTGGGTAACACTAATTCTGGCTAAGCCGACGAAGAACCGACAAGACTTCGTCAAACACCTTACTTTGAGCTGTCGTAAACTGAGATTGAGTCAACTTTAGAGCCGCAGAATAATACCGACAATTTGTTTCCTTCTCAGTTCCGACGGTGCGGGTGTGATATGGAGAAAGATTTAAGAGTTGACATAAGAGAGAGCCTGATTGTGTTGCCAGTTTATTAAAAACTTATGGGAAAAAAAATTCGGTTCTGCACTAGATTGGAGGACGGATGCAGAGGACACGATATTGGCGTTGATCAGAAAAAGGTATTAAAGTATAAATCATGCGGCATCTATTTTTGATTCTGAAAAATTTGAACACAGAAGTTCGGTGGTGAGACACGTCATGGTACATATATGATGCGTATATGATGTGTCACATATAAGATGGCAATGTTGGGGATTCCATAAACGTAACTACATTTTACGTTTTTCTTTCCTTGGTGGATTTTAAAAGGGTCGTGGTTTTACCGAAGAGGAGATGCGAGAAGTGTGCTCCACCGTGCTCCGTGGTAAGTCGCTTCAAATATTTCACGTTACTGACGTGTACCGATATTAAAAGCTGAGAAAATAGTAGTAAAATCCCGTAAGGGCGCCCTCCCCCGAGAGATCGCCCATCCCGTTTTTATTGTGGCTGAATATCGGAACATAAATATTCCGAAACATCGCCCACCCCCCGATTCCCGGTGGACGTCAAGCGACGTCCGACGGCAATCCCGCATCAACGGCGCGATCGGCGGTATACCGGTGTGTCCGAAAAGCGAAGCGAGTTCATAGCGTTTTCCCGCGTTTTTGTCACCGATGTGCGTGCCATATCGGCTCGCGTAACACGCTAGTTGTTCCTGCGTGTATATTGCATATTGAAATGTGAACCTGCTGCGTTCCCGATTTGCGGTCTCCATTCTCGAGTTCGTGAGCAAATTCCCGTGTTTATTTTTTTTTTATTTTTTTTTCCGCGATCTGCACGCGCGATATCGATTTTTAGGTGTAAGCAAACGCGCGAGTTGTTCCCGCGTGTATATTGCTTCGTGACATGCGATTCTGTTGCGTCCGCGATCTGTGGTATTCGTTTATGTGACACGCGAGTCTGTAGCGTATTCCCGTGTTTTTGTCCGCTATCTGCGCGCGCGATATCGGTTTTCGTGGCGGGCAAGATTGCAGCGGGTTCCCGCGTCTTAATTGCATGCACCATGAAACTTGAATCTGCTGCGTCCCCGATCTGCGGAATCCGTTCCCGTGAGATGCGAGTTCTTAGCGGATTTCCGCGAGTCCTTCGCACCGTGAAACGCTAATCTGCTGCGTCGGCCACTTGCGGCATCCTTTCCCGTGACACAGGAGTTTGTAGCGAATCCCGCGTGTTTATCGCATCGTGAAACGCGAATTTGCCGTGTCCGCGATCTGCGGTATCAGTTCCCGCGTCACGTGGTTTGTAGCGGGTGCCCGGCGCTTATCATTAATTTTTGATGAAGTTTTGCTGTGGCATCCCCAAAGATAGTCCTCCCCATGGTTTTCGCCATTTATCTCTTCATTTTGGGTGGGCGTCCTTACGGGATTTTACAGAAACTGAGCTCTCATGTTGATGTATACATAATTAAACTAACACTCTTGCTTTACGTAATACAATTTGAGAAATAGATATTTTCTCGCATGAGCATTTTGTCTGCTAACGTAACACGTTTTTGTTTTGTGAGTATATTTTTAAACAAAAGTGATCGTAATATGGAGGTGTGAGTTGTGTAGAAACTGGGGAACAAAGTGCTAAAACGAGCGATCTAAGCGAAGATATGTCTTAAGTGCTGTAAAGTGAAGGTTCCCATAGCCTGTGACCGATCAAGAACGAAGTGAGAGGAGCTCCCACTTCGTACTTGACCTGTCACAAACTATAAAGCACTTGGTTTTCTGACTACTTTTTTATGCGAAACCAATTAAAAAGTATGGCTTATTTATTCATTAAGCAATTAATGTCAATATGCTGGTATGTTTTCTAATCAACTAATTCTTTTATTTGGGGTGGTGGTAATTGGGTAGTCAGTGTTTAATTGCCTTGCATAGTGTATTATATCTTCGGGAAAGGTAAAGCGAATGAATAATTATTAAATACGATGTTGTACATTAACCTTTTTAAGCCTATTTCTTTCATTTCGTCATTAAGTCGTGCTTTCTTTCCTTTTCTAAAAAAAAAGTTGTGGGAGAACCCATACCAAATGCATATCATTACCGCTATATATTTTAAGACCTAGTTTTAGTCGAGTTGCGTAGGTTCTTATAAACATGCCATTAACTGCTTATGTGAGAGCATGACTAAAACGATGGTGTTGCTTTAAGAGTTTTGTTATTATATAATTATTGCAGTACATGCATGTTTAAAATTTCCATGCCGCAAAGAAAATTTAAAAAAAATTTAAATGCGTAAGTGAACGCTTTGTCTTGTACTTCTAAATGACAATTCTTAACCAATGACTTCTAAAATCAATTCTGAACAAACCGTATAAAATGCAAAATAAAAACAAATATATACTAAATTGTTCAATGCGCTCTAACGATCAGGGTGTCGCACATTTTGCGTTTCTATACTCAAACGGAAGCGTGCATTTCCGTCAAGCGATCCACATATTTCAGCCTCATCGTACATTTAATACGCAGCGCTATGAACACCGACGACATTAAACATAAAGTAAAACCGACAATCAACATCCAAAAACTCCAAAAAGCACCCTGCACTCAAAAAAAAAAACAAAAAAAACAAGCAGATTCTACATATACTAACTTAGCCCTCTGACATCACTGCACTGCTGTGGCGCTGCTGCCGGCGCTACAGCAAAAAAAGAAGAAAAAAAAAGACAGACGCACGGAGATTTATTACACTGTCAGATATCGCTGACTGCATTCTGCAGCCCTGTTCAGTCCGAACACCAATCATTGGACTTTCTTTGATCGGTTCAAACGATCAGAAAGGACGACAGGCGCCATGCAACATCACCTAGAATAATCAGAGCCTGTAAACATCCTCCTTTTTCTCCACCTGACATCATCACACTTGAATTGCGCCTACTCAGCTATTGGGCCAGAGTCCGACGTTTTACGTCCTTCGACGCATTCATTGGACACGGTGGACCAGCCGAGCGCTGACACGGTACTCGTGTCCATCGTCTCTGCTCAAATTCACCGTGATGAAGTATAGATGCTAATGAACTGACTTTTATTTTTCTATATGTGGTGTAGGCTCTACTGACATTGCGGGCTTAATGGCAAAATAGTCGGACATTTTTGGCCACGAGACTGCGTGATAACATACTCGCCCTTCTCCTTTGCTAGTCCGATTATAGAACGATCTCAAGCAGCACGGATTTTGGCCAAGCATTGGCCAATGGCTGGCGATGATCTTTTGGTCAATGTCCAAGGAGTGGCTCTTCATCAGCTAATGCTTGGCCGATGGCCAGAGAAAGGACAGTCATTGGCCAATGCACTGTCTGGCTACTGGCCAAAGAACCATTGCCAGCCATCGGCGAATGATTGGCCAGATCTGTGCTGCTTGGGATTATTGGCAAAGACTAGTATTCACGGAACACCATACTCTTGGGCCTTGTTCGTAGCGAATTCTGGGAAACTAGCTCCTGTTTATTGTCTGCCAAGAACAACGGTCTTGATTGGGTGCGTAATCGTGGGTTCTTCCCAGTCAATGTATTTGTTCTTGGCAGAAGATAAAAAGGGGGCCATAGTCACTGGCACGGTTAGAATGGCAGAAATATCTTTCGGTTCTCTCACCTCCAGCGGGACCTCCCTACCTTCGGTAGCGCTTCGGCGTTTCGTGACCCTCGAGCGTGCACGCGCAACCAAAGCACTGCGGAAGCACAGTCCTTGAAGCCAGACTTTCGAAAGAAAGTCTGGCTTCAAGTTATCCCAACAATATGGCGTCCTTTGAATGCCCTCTTCCGAGTGCATCTCGACGAAGCATACAACTTCTAAGATTGTAGAGTGACACACTACCCACAGTGAATGAAGTAAACCTGTGGGACACGCTGTCGTCCAAAAGTAAGTGGTGGGCAGTCCCCCGGCACTCCGCTCTTTTCGTCCTTCTTTCCCGAACTTCCCAGAACAACTGGCCGAGCTGACGGCCAAGCTCCGTGGCCCTGCCGGTCTCCCAGGAAGAGGAAAGCCAGGGAGGGCTGGACCACCGGGGCCCCAGGGCTCACCAGGTAACTTCCAAGACGCCATGATGTAGCCATAAATCGGATGTTTGCTTGTTCGAGGTAACTAAAATGTTTATTGGAAATAGAAAGACGAAACATTTCGATGTAAAAAGTTTATGAAAAAAATCAAATGTTTACACCCTGAAGGCCGGTTTGCCCTACTGCTTAGCACTATAACTGCGACTTCGCGCTGTATCGGCGTTAAGTCAGCGTGCCGCTTCACATTGTCGCAGATGGAAAAGGACCGGCGAGCGAAAAACTGAAAATAAAGGTTCAGTCGACGAAGTTGTGCCGGAAACAAAAGAAAGAACGAGAGCCGAGAAAGCAGCGACGAGCGTCGAAAGTCGCATCAGGAAGCGTCGAGGTGTCGGCGTGACATCTGGGCCAGTTGTCACGCCGACACCTCCACGCTTTTGTCCTTTGCCCTTCCTTTCTTCTTGTGTTTTTGCGCGCTGCTACCAGCTGTAATCATGAACCAACTCGCCTGTACTGCCACGTTGATCTAAATCAAGATTTGACCCGCCCTTTTTCTGATTGAGATTGACTTTTTTGCGAGTATTCAAATGGGGCCAGAAAGATTGACGGGCCAGAGATAAATATCAGCTATGGTGCCTTGATGATGCCTGTCTGTGACGTCACTAGTACTTGCTACTAATTGGAGGCTGCGTTCGAATGGTTATTTTTTGTAGTTAGAAATGGGAACTGGAACGAAATGCTTCAGGTAAGTGTATGCCCGCTTGCCCCGCTTAAAACTGCATGGGTATTGCTTTCCCACGTAGCATATAAAGTTCACGTGGGTCAAACGATTCAGCTGAAGACGATCTAAAGGTGAGTAATCTCCTCTTTTACGCATCATTTCTACTTATGAAACAATATAAAAATAGCCCGATAGACAAAGACAAAATAGAAGACTTGACAAGCGCTTTCTTGTCTTCGGGTCAGTGTTTGTCATCAGAGACATATTTTTGTTTATTATGCTTAGTGCACTGGCACACCATATATTTACTACATTATTTTCAAAGCCAACGCTCTTTCGTCGCACAAAAAAGAACTTCACATTAGCTTTTTAATGAACTTCGCCTGTCGGTATACTGATCTTCGATTGGACTATCGAATGTGACCAATATTAACTTTTTCGTTAGGTCAAGAGTGCTTATAGAGCTACTTCAATCTGGAAGTAGTTTTTACCTTTCCCTATATTAGGAGACAACATGAAACGCACAGTTTTAGGAGTAGGGAAGTCTAACTACTCCCCAAATGGAGTATTTTTACGGGATTACTTCTGCAGGGAGTTAAGTAGTGTCTACATTGCTTGCTGGAGTAGAATAAAGTACACGTCTCACGTATTAATGAGCCATTAAACTGCATCAACAATATTTTATCATTATTTTTGTATATTTAGGCTAGTAATATCATGTCACAAAATTGAAACAAAAAAAAAAAAACAATATAGCGTGATTTTAAACTCAGAATAAGTTTAAAGGAAATGAATGTTTCTTTTGCTAAGGTATATCGCAAAATACTGGCAGCTACACTTTTTCATATTTTTTAGCCAACAGTATAATACACACATGCATTTTGACCCCCTCCGCACCAGAAGTCATGAACATCCCAGCCATCTTAGAAAAATAGTCCTGACTATGCAACTGCCTTGTAGCCTAGGTATTTTATAGCTACAAAATGCGCATACATTGAGTCCACTTTTTTGACACCTAATCTCACCTTTGACTATTTCACAACATGGAACATGATTAAAAACACGCCTAAAACTCTGAATACGCATTTTAACCCGTCCTGTTATCCAGAATATATACCTAAATATCTAAAGCAATTTTTTTCCTAAAAGGGTGTTGCATGAACGGCGCGTAAAACTTGCCATTTAAACAACGGGCCTTCGTATAATAAAACCCTTAGGCATTTCAAAAAGAAACTTAAATCACTGTCTGATTCAAGAATCAAAGCGAAGAAAAACAAAATGGTATTCTAAACAATTTGTAACCGGCGCCGGCAGCCATAAACGTCGGACTGCCGGCGCCGGAAACGACTGAACCGCCAAATGTATCGTTCAGCGTTTATCATACGTTGAGAACCTCTGGGAGGTGTATTGACTGTTCCAATAATTCCATTTTTGCGCGCTGCCATCGGTCTACTGGGCTTGTGGAAAACGTTCTGGATATTTGCGCTAGCTCTGTTCTGCAGAATATTTGACGTCGCGCATGCCTTCACAACCCATGGTGACTCGGCATTTTTCTTTTTTCACCTGGCTCGTAAGCACTGGAAAAACGTATACCCTGGGCTCATCTGATTTACCCGCATCAACCTGCACTATAAAAAAAAAGGTGTAAAAGGGTGTATCGTTACACCCTTTGTCCAATACAATGCACCACAACACTTCAATTCGACGTATACAGAGCGCTATAGTCGAACAGACGGCCCCAAATTTTAGGAGGGGCTTGATAGCCGTGTTTTACAGCTTATTAAAATAGCTAATGTATGTTTTACTGACTACAAAAAAAAAAAAAAGTAATCTGAGTTTTCTTGACCCTACTGCAAAAACTTGGTGTCTTATTTATGTGGTCTTTGATACGTACTTTAGCTATTTAAGAAGTCATATCGCACCGTTATCAAGCCCCTCGTAAAATTTGGGGCCGTCTGTTCGACTATAGCGCTCTGTATACGTCGAATTGAAGTTTTGTGGTGCATTATATTGGACAAAGAGAGTGTTCACCGGTGCAGGTAAGCGTAGCGCGGTGCAGAAAAGTGCAGTGCCATGTACTTCCGGACATGTTTTGAGGCGCTGCACTCGTACATCGAATGGTGTACGCAGAGTGCGGCTGGTACAGCAGGTGCAGGTAAACCGAATGAGCCCATTAGCGGGATTGGTTTCCATATCACAATCATCCACAAATTATTCAAACATGCATTCGTCCACCCGAGGAAAGAGAGCGGAGTGACTATAGTAGAGGAGACACTTGTATTATCTGACTGGGTGAGTGAGAAGGACCCATGGACCACAGAGAATATGCACAAGCTAACGGCCGGCCTCCGAGGTCCCAGAGGCGTCCCCGGGAAATCCCGACCGGGACCGCCGGGCAAACCGGGACGACAGGGCATCCCAGGTAAGTCGCTTCAAAAATGCAACAAAGGAAAAGAAAGAAAAGGCATCATAGTTCCCGGAAACGAATGGCACAGGCCCTTATGATAGACAGGAAATTTACCATTTTCGTAAATCACCGGTTTCGAAGGTTGCTGTTATGTGTATGCGGGTGCATAATATACTAACGTCGGCATGGGAGAAGATGAGAACGTGAGGTGGACGTCGACGCGCCGACCTCTCGTCGGAAGACGCCGGGTAGAGGCGAACTTGGCGTCCGCCCCCCCCCCCCCCCCTCCCCCTCATCCTCCCAATCAGAACACGGTGTTCTGACGTCACCGTGTTCTCTTGTCTCCTCCTCTCCCTCAGTTTCCCCCCGCATAGCGTGAAGACCTGTCATGGTCGCTCGTGAGTTCGTGGAACGCGAGCAAGTTTTCGTGCCCCAAAAAACTCTGGAACCGCGAATTTCGAAAATGGTGGAGACGTCTGTGTGTGTCCTTTCGCTTTCCTCTTGTTCACATAATAGATGGGTTCAAAAAAAAAAATATTTTTTTTTTGTTGCATGCTAGGTTGATATCAAGCGTCGTCGCTTTGCTTTTGGCATTTTTGCATGTCACCTCGCGCGGAAAGTGTACCTGCGAAACTGGTCGCCGAAATGTCCAGTGAAATATTTTGTTACTGTCTCTTGATGAACCTCTTACGGCGAGGTAGGTTAGAGGGTTTGCTGAAATTATGGTGACTTTATAAGGTCAATGGTTAAATCCTTTTATTTTTTGCTTTTCAATAAAACACCCGGTTGTGGTGGGGACTTAAAGAGTGAAGTAATCAGTCGGCCTATCAAGAATACTTCGTCGCGTGTTGAAAGACCCAACTATTTCACTCTTACGGGGTTTTCTTTTATCTTCTTTTTTTTTTCAGCACTGTTCTTCTTGGGGATGTTCCTTGCTTATTGTAACATCATCTTCCGTTTCATCTGAGCAGTCTTGTCTTCTTATGAATAGTCATTGGAATTCTTTTTATATCGATCTATGCGTGGTTTGTACCAGGCATTGAGTAAGTTACCCCATTTTGTCCTTGCTTCAAGTCTCCTCCTTTATCACTAAAAAAATCCACTTCTAATTTATGTGGTAGAACACTATAGGTGTATAAACTATGGTACTGAAGTGCTGTCACCAACATCTCGAACACTATTCTTTTAAAAGCAGCTTGCTTAATCGTCGCGTGTTTCTATTAATAGTAATTTATATGATAATTACCTCAGGGGACCCCGGAACACCAGGACTTCCTGGAGAACGAGGTTTCATGGGACTTCCAGGACTGCCTGGACCACAGGGACAGTCCGGGCCAACTGGTAAGTTTTCGAAAATCCAGCGTCACGATTTCACGCCAGCCATGAGGTGAAGCAACAAAGCACGAAACACGACTGGTGGCAGCAATGGACCTAGTAAATTTCGGAAGCGCATGGGTCATTATTTTTATTGCTACACATGTGAGAAAAAAAAAAAAAAAACAGGTTGTGAAGACTCATGCCACAAAGACTTTGACCTCTCTCTTTAAACTTCTCTATTAACGAGGAGATCGTACCATACACACCAAAGGCTTTGGTGTGTACGGTACGATCTTCTCGTCAATAGAGGAGTTTAAAGGGAGAGATCAAAGTCTTTGTGGCATGAGTCTTCACAACCTGTCTACAAACGTACACACGCGTTTGCCCACACCAGGTGTGGACACCGCGTGTGCGCAGGAACCAGAGTCCCGTGAAATGAAGCTTCTGCGCATGCGCAGGCAGACGGCAGCGCCACCGCAGTGGAGTCAGGTCTAAGAGTTGAGTTTGCGCATAGAGGGCGCTTTGACCAGCCTCTTTTCCACAGAGCCCGGTTTAACTCAGAAGCTCCACAGAGCTTCTTGAGTTGAACACGATTAGAGCATCGGCGTTCAAATGGGACTCGTGCCCAGTCGGTGTTTCATTAGAGAGTTTTAGTAGATCGTTCCGATACCCCCGATAACGATACGATGCGTGGGCAAAGGCGGCGTTGGAGTACCGGGTATCGTAATCGGAGTCATCGGGACGATCGACTAAAACTCTCTATTGATTGAATAGGAGCCCCCGGTCCAGCTTGGCGTCAGAGTCATGAGCAAACAATTCATATTGTTCCTAAAGTTAGACGCCAAAAACAACGAGGACACAAGAAGAGATGCAGACTGGACAACGAGAACAGAAAAAGAGATGCAGAGTGAACGCCTCGTCCAGTCTGCATCTCTTCTTGTGTCTTCATTGTTTTTGGCGTCTAACTTTAAGGATGAACAGCAAACTAGCCCAACTAGCCGTCTTAATTCATATTGTTGTTGTCCCCATGGGTAATAGTTCTCAACTTAGCCACTCGAAACATCCACAGTTTAATATATTTAAGAGGGGAAACCACAATCGAATCAATTTAGGGGGGGAAAGGCAAACAGTACACGCAGAGATAGTGGTCAGTTTGAAAGCGTTACTCAACTGTTTCATCTGTTGGTTTCTTCGTAATGTCGTTTTTTGTCTTGTGAATACAAGAGGAAGAACGATGCAAGACGCAACTGATGCTGGCATTCTTTCCTCTTTACGAAAATAATAAGGAAAAAAACGGTAATCTAAAAGCAAAAAGATAATAGTTTGAACTGTTCTCAAACTTCGAGCACGCTGGCTGTGTTTCATTTTAACGCCGATAACCGATCATTAAAGCCGGGGTCACCCTGCTCGTATACATATCCAAACAGTTTGCAAGCACAAGTCACCGCAATGTCCCTGGTTCGAATGCCGCGTGCCAAGCTTTCCCCTTGAACTCATTGCCATGCGGCATTCGAAGCACGGCTATCGCGGTGACTCGCGTTCGAATCTGTTTGTGCAGACTGTATTTTGTATGATGTACAAGCAGTACGACCCCGGCTTTACGTTCAGTACTTTTTGGAATACAGGCGGTTTGACTGACCACGACCCCCTGAGACAGATACATACATATTTGCTTTCTGCATGCATGTGACGAGAGAGTCGTCACTTAGACTGATGGAAAAAACACTCGATTTTTCCGGCATTTAGTGATCACCAGAGATGTGATCTACTAACGATTTCCCTCATTCCGTACACACCGCAGGTGAAAAGGGTGACAAAGGTGATCGTGGCCCCGAGGGAATCGGAATGGAAGGACCCATAGGACCTCATGGATCCCCGGGTAAGAGACGTGCACACAGCGATATGTACCCGAATATAAGGTGATATTACTTGATGGGTACCAGTGCTTACTTTTCTCAATAGGAATGAAGAGCAGTTAGCACCATTTCGCGATGTCGAAGTGAATCAAATGGATATATTTACAAATGTTACCGAAATTTTCAGGCGGATTGACGAATGGGACCTGCCAGGTTTTGAAACGTTTTCTGAATCGCCACAGACGATCCTAACAATCTAATATCAATATCGTTTTGATCTTATTACTCGAAAGTGCTTTTTTTTAGACTAGGTTAGTTAAATAGCTACATTCTTTACAGGACATGAAAAGAAAGTAATGCTAGTCGATGGAAAGAATAACATCTACTTATCGCTGTACGCGTTTTAGAACAATAAGTGAAATATTCGGCATTTTGCAGGCCGCAGCTTTTGCTCAAATTCAAAACACTCGGTACTACGAATCTCCTATGTGGATTCTTTCTCGAACACCTAATCAGGCTCAAAATACCTTTAAAAAAAAAATATTGGCATCGATTTTTACCTGCAAAGTCTTAAGAAGCACGAAAATCAGTACTTAAAGGGACCATGAAAATATTTTTTGGCTGGGATAAATTGGGATTTTTCTAATCGCATATCGTTTTAATCGCACGCGGCTGGGAGGCGCGCGCGACTGCGCCTATGCGCGCCGCGGAAATGGATTCGCTTTTGCGTGCTAGCAGACACCGGCCCAGGATAGCTCAGTCGGCAGAGCACTTGGCTCTGAAAGAGGATAGGTAGGCGATTGGGATAACGCGTCTCAGCTCGGAGCGTAAAGCGAAAGCTTGCACTGCGGAACCTCCTGGGTTCGATACCCACCCTCTGCACATTTCGATTTGGATGAGCTTCGTACCGGCACGCGTTTGCGTAATCACTACTGCGTGATGCACGTTAAAGACCCGAGGTTAGCGGTGTACTGCACTGGCTAAATTTCTCATCTGCAGCTAAAGACCTGTCACCCGTTGAGGCATAGTACTTGCATCAAGGCTGTCTAAACATACAAGCAACACAATTTTCTTGGCTCACAATCTCACGGTGGGGAGTTCAAACAGTGCCGGGGAGTGAAGTCTTCTTAAAGGTTCCTTATGTATGGACATAACTCTTTTCAGTTTCAGTTTTTCGTTCCAGCCGGCTGTTACAGCCAAGCGTTACGGAACCATGCAAATAAGCTGATGAAACACATTTTGTGTCAAGCAAGTTGACTGCAGGTTTGGTTATTGTGCCAAACACATTTAAATGTGGTAGCTTCATAGGGTAGGTGAAGCTCTTTGTTCTTGTGGTGCAAGATGACCCCTTAGTCCTTCAGTGCCTGGGGGTGGTGTTCTTACTTCAGGTGGTGACTAGGGCAGGGTTTGTATGGAACCAGATTACGTTACACCGTTGTCACTTAGCGACACTGAGCGCGCTTCCCTTCAGCACCACCCGGATATACAAAGCCTTTGCGCTGAACTTTCTGGATCACCAAGAGAGGGGAAGCTCGCCTTCCCACGCTTTGCACTGTCCTCCTCGTTCCGCGCACTCTTTCTACACCACCTGTTTGTGCCCCTGGTTCCGCGCTATTTTTTTTTTTTTTTTTACCGAGCAGTTTGTTTTCCTGTCTTTTTTGCCCTTTCTACCCATCTTTGCTCCGCGCGCCTTCTCACACCACTTGCCTCTGCTCTTCCCGTTCCTGCGTGCTGGGTCCGTAGAGTTAACAGCACACTCAGCCTCCACGGCGGTGACTGGGGTTAATCCCTGACAGCGTGGTTACCGTTTTATTTTTATTTTTTTTAACATCGTTTAACGGTTACTGATTGACCGACTTACAAATTTCATGCTTACATGGCTTCTGACATTGTTTGGTCCTATAAAGCTACCGTATTTGGAGATAGTGCGCACCGCGTACAATTTCAACTTTTACACATGTGTAGTTTGTGGACTATAGTCCAGGATACACGGTGCCAATCCCGTTCTAGGATCTCCGGGGCCGTCCGGAATCGGCGTGCCCGGACGACCCGGGGAGCGGGGTCCTCCAGGGAGGCTCGGAGCTCCGGGACCTCGCGGACCTCCGGGAGTGCAGGGCCCGCCGGGCTACTGCGAGATGTGCAACTACGCCAGCGCCGACATCCTCAACATGCTGCACATGAACACCGTCCGGGAGAACAACAAGGGGCCCGGGAAGTGATCACGTGCCCAAGCGCGTGGCCTCCGCAGAGCCCGAAAGGTACGAATAAAGCAACCGAATAAGCGAACTGCTTGCTCTATACACATGGTGCGGCCGTAAGGACCAGCACATTCGGCACGCCTTGCAACATTCGAATTCCTGAAACTGGGCACACGGTGTCGTCGCTGCAGACACACATGACAGAATTACCTACGGGCACGCCACAAGCTTATCGCCCGAAGCGCTTTAGATACACGTATTCTTCGAACATGTCAAAAGACACTCTTTGTACGGCAAAATGTGACGTCGTATGAGGAAGGAACACGCGCAAAACATTGTCTGCAGATTTTTTTATTTATTTATTTTTTTTTTTTTTTTGTACGAGGATTTTTAGGAGCAGCGCGATCGGGGCTTAAGGCACTCTTCGGCCATCTTGGGGCATAAAATCATTGTCGCCACCAGTTGTCCGAAGCGTTTTATCTGAAGCCGTAAGAAAACTGCTTTCCGTCCATCCAGAAATGTTCAAAACAGTCCGCGAAAGAGCGAAAGGATATCGCTGGAGCTTCCCGATGACATGTCTAAATCTCGGGAGGTCGCATGCTTTGCTGTCGCAACGCGATGGCCGTATGGCACCCGCTATGCACTACTAAGCACCGAAATGGCGGCGTCCACAGAAAGTTCGGCAGATCCAACCAATTGTTTAAAATTAAGCGATGAGTTGCAGCCATAACTAAAAGAGCCGCGACCGGTCACGTGTCAATTTTCCCGCTAGCGGGTAAACTGAATTTTTGTATAGGTCAGTCAAGTGACATCGTGTGACGCCAATTTTTTTGCTAAACTTAGCGGGGAAACTGAATTTGTGTACATGTCACGTGACATAAAGTCGTGATGTCATTTTCTCCGCTAAGTTCAATGGGGAAACGAGGTTGGTGTTGAGGTCACGTGGCGGCGATTTTTACGCTAAATTTAGCGGGCAAACTGAATTTGGGCATAAGTTGGGTCATGTCACTTGATGTGACGTCATCTTCCCCGCTAAATTTAGTTGGGAAAATCAGCGGCTAGAAACATACCTCAAAGTGGCCTGAAGATCCTAAGAAAGCTAATCGCTTTAACAGTGGATCTGGGCTCGAAGAAACTTGTCGGACCCGTTTTTACTGGGACTACGCTCGGCAATCTTTCGGAGATGCAGATAGCAACAAGGGCTGGAAGCGTAACAAGAGAGGAATGTGGTCTTTCCCCCGCCACCTCTCGTGTTGCTAAAGCATAACAAATCATGTGTGTCTCTCGATGAGAAAACACCTCATGAAGTGTTACAAGGAAGTCGACTTTTTCTAGCTGGCGAAACATTTCCCATTATAAACCACTCTGGGAGAACTTATCACCGACCTCCCATTAAAGCGAGAATTATTGATTTGGAGGCACGTTACGTGTTTATTAGCAGCAGTTTAAGATCCTAAGAGTAATCAACTGATCACAAACAGAACAAAAAACATGATTGACAAAAATGATGTCTGTGGAGACATCTATAGATGTTTTTAGACATTATTTTCGTCAATCAAGCCCTAAGCCAAATTGATTTGGCTTAGGGCTTGATCAGGTTTTTAATGATTCATATAGATGTTTAAATGCACTTTTATTCCAAGTGCATTGTAAGATCCAGGAAGCGTTGCACAAACCTGGAAAAGAAATATAAAAAGAGAATAAGTCTCTAAAGATGAACCTTCGCTTTATGGTGCATTTGTTACCCTTTAATTTTTACGTTCTTGTTTTCAGAAAAAAGAAACAAGCGGACAAGAAAGAGGATATCTTAACACCGTCCAAGCTGGAACCAGCCCATGGAAATGCTACTCTGGATGTGGACTGGGAATGATGTCCGTTATTATGCTGCGGTTTAAAGCTTTTGCGTTAGATCACAAGGAAAAGTTTTGCTCCTGGTGAAATGTTACTTAAAGCCGTTTTCTTTTCGATGAGATTATGCCGAACATTGAAGGACATTCACTTCTAATAAGACACAGCTGCATGAATCCTGTCACTCCATTCTCCAAAGAAGGGACTTGTGCTATGGCTTTGTTTAAAGTATATTATGCGGTTTAAGCTCTCATGAATTTTTTTTTGGGGGGGCATTTGACAATTTGTAGCGGAAGGTCACAGTCACAATGACTTGTGACAAGGGATATGATCTGAGGCACTCTGAAAAAAGCTTGTCTACGCCAGATTCATGCGAAGCAACATTTAAAATAAAAATGTGTCATATTCGAGCATAGCATAACCTGGAGCATGCCTCCTTTATGTGGGGCAAGCCTGACACATCGCCGACAGCACGGGAGATTGTCCACCGCTGTAAAAGAGTGAGGGCAAACGGACGGCAAACTGGGTAATCTTGGCACTTGGCGGCATGCCACGGCAGCGGCCATTCTCAGAAACACAGTCCGCCGTCGCAAATTGTGTTTGGAAGAATGCATGTGGTTGAGAAAATAGTCGCTGACGTGGTGTGGCGCTGGGTGCTAAGAGGTTCTAAGGTTCTCTATCCCATTTTTGGTTAGGCCTTAACCGAAGCTCTCAGGTGACATTGAATGCCAGGTGCGAACGCGCTAACGGTAACGTATGACGATGACATTTCGGTACTAGATCCAGACACGTTTCCATGTAACATCGCTGATGTGCGCATGCGCGAATGGGCAGATGTACTCCTCACCGACCACTGCCAAATAAAACGAGAATAAAGAATCAGCTTTTGTTGTTTATGCAGTTTTCGCTTGAAACAGACCGTTGAAGCCTCTCTGAGACCATCATACTTACTGTCAAGGGTCTTGAATTAACAGTGACCGAGGGCTTCCGAACTTCATTAGATGATGGTAAGTTCGGAAACTTTTTATTGGCATCTGGTTCCAACTGCCAGCACTACATTTGGACGGGGGCAATGCATTCCGCGATTCCTGTTTTAGTTTGCAGTGAAGGAAAAGACATGGTTTTCTTTTGTTTCCTTTTTTTTTAACACCCTGTGCCCAATACTGTAAAAATAAAAATTCTTGAGCGTTTGATAGTACAGGTTTACAATTAAGAGTTGGGTCTGACATAATGTCAAAACAGAAGTTCCTACCAAATAAAAAAACGGGTTGTCTTTTTACGGTGCTTTATTGCAGACTGCGTCAAAACGCAGTTGCACTGCTTGCCTTCTGAATATCACTTGACTACTTGACGGTTCAACTCAGGGTCGGATTTAAAGTTGGGAAGGAAACTTTTCTTATTGAAAAACGACACACACCAACCTTTTTTTTATTTATTTTTTTGTTTTGTTTTTGTTGAAAAGGCAAATATTGGGTAAACAAAATAGATCTGGGCAACCCTTCCTTCGTCCGTGACGTAACATCCGTCCGTAAGGTCAAATCTTTCTGCAACCCCCCCCCCCCCCCCCTTTGCCCAAGGCTTAACCGAAAATCCACCCCTGGTTAAAGGAGCGGTGCAACGATATTCAATTGGAATGTTTTTCACTTTTCACGAGCTTACTGGCACTAGCGGGACTCAAGGATACTCGCACGCAACGCCACTGGCCAAGAAAATCCTTTGTTGCGGCGTAATTTCAAGGACAAAAGCGATCATTTTCATTCCGAAATTTGATGACGTAACGTGGGGATCGCATTACACTCCAATGACGATATTTGAATGCGGTTCATAGATTGGACCCGAGAATTACGTGGGCACTCGATTTCGGCTCGTGATAATTACTAGCTCGAGAAGCATTCGGGTAGTGGCCCGTGTCCAATCGGTGCAACGACGACAACAGCCGAGCCATAACAATGTCTGGAACTCAGCGCGTGTACTGTGCCTTGCCAACCACAGCGCGTGGCTATGATCAACATTGGCGGCATATAATCGGCTTCAGATCACGTGGCCGCTTGTTCTGGCCGCGAGTTGAGGGGGTGAACGGTGCTCGTTTTCCTTTAATTTTTTTCTGGAACTTCTATTGGCGTGGGGTGAAAAACGAACGCGTGTTTCATAGGTCATTAACGTCAGGGATCCGTTCCAAGCGGTATTTGCGCAAAGTACAAAAATTGTCGCATCGCCCCTCTAAGCGTTGTGGTTGGTCCTCAATCTAAACATAAAGCATGCAACACGCACCGTCGTCTGTGGCGCGTGCTGGTTTGCCAATTCGCAAAATGGCATAAAACGTTGTTTAGCATTGTATATGTGAGGGGTACCTCTCGAAGCTAGAAACGCGCGCCCCCCATGTTCCACAACAGCCTCCCTACCAATATACTGAGTCCTTTGTTTTTGAAATTTATACTAAAAATAAATGGGAGGCACTCACTTGATCGAATGACGCTTTAGCGAACGCCCACGATTCACCGAATGACACTTTAGCGAATAGTCGGACGCCGCGAAGCGGCGTTTTCGGGTGGGCCAAATGGGTTCACATCTTTGTAATGAGCCGCCGCAGACTGTCGCTGCGAAGCGGCGTAAAGCGCAGCGCGGGGGATGGGTTAACGCGCGCCCCGGTATTCGCTAAAACGTCCATTCGCTCAAATGTCGCTGTTCGCTAAAATGTCATTCGCTCGTATGATATGGACCCAAAATAAATATATACTGTAAACGACTTAATTTTCGCGGGCTCAAATTTTCGCGAATCGGGCCAAAGCTGAAAATTTGAAATTATTCGCGGGTTCTAATTTTCGCGAATCGAGTGTAGCTTCCGTAGCGTTCACATATTGCCCGAATTGTTCACGGGACGTATTTTTCGCGAATTATAGGCGATTCGCGAAATTCGCTAAAACTAGGTCCCCGCGAAAATTTAGTCGTTCATATATATATATATATATATATATATATATATATATATATATATATATATATATATATATATATATATATATATATATATATATATATATATATTTATATATATATTTATATATATATTTATATATATATACCCAGGCAGCACACCAATGTTGGACCTACATTGGGCCAACAATGGCAAACGCTGGCTCCGGAGGTTGGTCCAACATTGGTATTCTGGCCGAGCGCAACT